GGGCCCTTACAGTGAATGGGGCCAGTGGTGACATCTATCCTCTAAAAGCCATAGCAGGAATCTCTGATTCCTGCTGCTACTATTCGCTCCGGCCCTAATCACCGGGGGATACGGAGCCTTATACAGCTGCTGTCATTTGCCAGCAAGTGCGAGAGGACAGTGGCAGCACATGCACCCTTTGTACTTTGATGCCGGTTTTTCAGCAGTGTAGTAAAAGCAATGTCCATAACTGGTTATTTAGGTTTAATGAATTCTGACTTGTCGGCGGGTCGCCTGCTGGAAGTTAGTTATGACTGTCCCAGACAGGAAGAAGGGGTTAACATGTTTACTAGACATGTGCGGTTCCGAATCGAGATTTGGATGTATCCGAATTTCCAAATTACAATAGTAATGAATTTAAACAAATCTCAAATAATGAAACAAAATTACGTCTGAAATTCAAATTAAATTTGAATCGAATTCCGAAGCTAAATCGAATCCGAAAACAAGAATAGAATAAAATAGAATAGAACATAAAGGAATAGAATAGATCAGGGGTGTCCAAACTATGGCCCTCCAGGTGTTTAGGAACTGCAAGTCCCATGAAGCCTTGCAAGACTTTGACATCCAAAAGCAAGACACCCAGAGGCAGAGGCATGATGGGACTTGTAGTACTTCAACAGCTGGAAGATGCTCCATATTCTCAATGGTAGGAGAGGAGAGAAAGGCGAGGATTTGAAATCTTCTCTTTGCAGGGATGACAGCTCAGGCTAGAGAGCTTTTGATTGGTTAGCACTTTCACATGGATGGCACTGACCAGTCAGATGCCGTCTAGCCCGTACTGTCGTCGCTGCAAGTAGAGAAAAGAAAGCCTCTTCACAAGTCTGAGGATTTGAAATCCCCGCCGCTTTCTCTTCTCTCCTTGCAGGGATGACAGCTCGGGCTAGAGGGCTTTTGATTGGTCAGCACTGTCACATGGATGGTACTGACCAATCAGATGCCGTCTAGCCTGTACTGTCATTGCTGCAAGTAGAGGAATGAAAGCCACTTCACAGTTCTGAGGATTTGAAATCCCTGCTGCTTTCTCACCTCTCCTTGCAGAGATGACAGTTCAGGCTAGAGGGCTTTTCATTGGTCAGCACTGTCACATGGATGGTACTGACCATTCAGATGCCGTCTAGCCCGTACTGTCATCCGTGATAGTAGAGCAGAGAAAGCCACTTCACAAATCTGAGGATTTGAAATCCCCACCGCTTTCTCTCCTCTCCTTGCAGGGATGAAAGTTCGGGCTAGAGGGCTTTTGATTGGTCAGCACTGTCACATGGATGGTACTGGCCAATCAGATGCCGTCTAGCCTGTACTGTCGTTGCTGCAAGTAGAGGAATGAAATCCACTTCACAGATCTGAGGATTTGAAATACCTGCTGCTTTCTCTCCTCTCCTTGCAGGGATGACAGTTCAAGCTAGAGGGCTTTTGATTGGTCAGCACCGTCATATGGACGATACTGACCAATCAGATGTCGTCTAACCCATACTGTCATCCCTGCAACTCGATCAGAGAAAGCCACTTCACAGATCTGAGGATTTGAAATCACAGCGGCTTTCTCTCCCCCCCTTGCAGGGATGACAGTATTGGCTAGATGACATCTGATAGGTCAGCACTGTCCAATCAAAAGCGCTCTAGCCTGAACTGTCATCCCTGAAAGGAAAGGAGAAAAAGCGGCGAGGATTTCAAATCCCCACCTCTTTCTCTCCTCTCCTACCACTGAGAATATGGAGCATCTGCCTCCATAGTATACATCCCCACACCCCCAATCTCCCTGCACCGCTTCCGTGTGAACTAAGGCTATGACAAACCTGCGTTCACACAGGAGCAGTGGGGAAATCGCATTCCTGTTCAAATCGCATGCGGTGCAATTTGTATTGACGCAAATCGCACCGCAAAGTATCGGTTTCTGGTATTAGTACGAGCACTCGTGAAAACTCTCGGTATCAGGACCGAGATCAGTACCGGTGCATCCCCATTAAATACCAACAAAAGAAAGCTGTTTCATATGGGTACAGTGTTGCACGACCGCACAATTGTCATTCAAAGTGTGACAGCGCTGAGAGCTGAAAATGGGCCTGGGCAGGAAGTGAAAGTGAAGTGGTTAGATGACTCCATACACACCAAGAAGCAGCGACGAACAGCGAGACATAAAATAGGAATTTAGATCTTTGCGATTAGAAATAAAGTTAAATAAAACGCAACGTTTCGTATTTCCGCAGAGAGAATGAAAGTCGGCGTTGAACGCTCGATCCGAATGGCAGTTAGGACTGTATCTTATTTCTCCAATAAATTGAATTAAACATAATGTCTCCACTTTACATATCCTACATCTGCAGACTGTAGCCTTGCCAAGATATTTTTTCCATACACCAGCAGTTCTCTTTTTTTTTTTTTCTTTTTTTTTTTTTTTTTTTTTTTTAAGCTGCGACTCGCCTCTAAATAAATTAAAAAGACGTGACGGATCCCCAAAATCCCGTCTGCTCGCTCCGTATTCTAACTGAAAGAAGTTTTCTATTCTTCTGTCTAATTCCCGCGCCAGTTTCCTGTGCGGATTTTCCTTAATGTCTCTATTGTTTTTCGGTGGAAAATAAAATTCCTTTCCAATTATTGTACGTGACGCGATGTCAGCGGCATTGAGCTGCCGGCCACTCGCGGTAATAAAAAAACGCGGCTGTTGTGCACGCTGGTGACAGATGTTGTCACCTGGAGCCACGTTCGTGTCTTGGCGGCCGCGTTTGTCGGAACCGGTCAGATTTGAACGGGCGGACTGACCATTTGGGAACTCGGGCACTGCTCGAGGGCCCAGGGTCAGTGGGGGCCCCATGAGATGCCCCTGGTACCTTTCATAGGCTTTTTTGGGTGTGGTTTGAGTGTGGGTGAGGACACAGGGGCCCCATGATCCCCTATTGCCCGGGGGCCCCATGAGTTGTCAGTCCACCCCTGGATTTGAATGATTTGGCTTTGTCATTGGTTCCCACTATGTTGGCATTAGGATCAGGCCAAATAATGGGCGCCAGTGCGCGGTACGTTGATGATGTCACTGGCATTGTTTGCTGAAAAATCGCCACCAACTTGACCTTGGTGGAGACAGTGGCGGACTAACCATTTGAAAACTCGGGCACTGCCCGAGGGCGCGGGGTCAGTAGGGGGCCCCATGAGATGCCTCTGGTACCTTTTTCATAGGCTTTTTTGAGTTTTGGCAAGGACACAGGGGCCCCATGATCCCCTATTGCCTGGGGGCCCCATGAGTTGTCAGTCCGCCCCTGGTTCTGCCTAATTTGTGTTCAGTGGGTTCAAGTGAATGGTGCCACAGCGTGGTGGTACAGCCATTTGGGGGTTAGAACAGGCAGTGAGGTGCTGATGTATAAACGCTTCCTCGCTGCCTGTCAAATGCCCTCTGAAGAGCGATTCACCTTGGATCTTCAGCGCTCATGTAAAGGAGCCCTTACTCTGAGTTCACTGCACACCAGGGGCGGACTGACAACTCAGGCCAAATAATGGGCGCCAGTGCGCGTACGTTGATGATGTCACTGGCATTGTTTGCTGAAAAATCGCCACCAACTTGACCTTGGTGGAGACAGTGGCGGACTAACCATTTGAAAACTCGGGCACTGCCCGAGGGCGCGGGGTCAGTAGGGGGCCCCATGAGATGCCCCTGGTACCTTTTTCATAGGCTTTTTTGAGTTTGGGCAAGGACACAGGGGCCCCGTGATCCCCTATTGCCCAGGGGCCCTATGAGTTGTCAGTCCGCCCCTGGGTGGAGATGTATTGATACAAAGAAGAGGAAGACATGTTTGTAACTTATTATTAACACCCAAGATTTACATAACTTTCACCCAAGATTCGCACCTTTGTCCAGTTGAATCAAATAAAGAAATATGGGATGAAAAAATATTGGAATTGGTGGAGTGACCCCTTAGTTCCCCATGATAACGAACTGGTAAGAAGTGGTCCAATGGGCTTCTTACCATTTATTTGTGTAGGGGCCGTAGACCCTCTAATAGGAAACCTAAGTTCCAACTAAGAGCAGTTAACTCCACCCCCGAGGAACCAGAGATTTCCCAGCGTGATTCTCTTCGTCCCCCTATGCAAAGTCCCACCAAAACCTGTTGATCCTGCCAATGAAGTCCAATCAGTAATAGTCAGTATTCTCTTGCAATTAAACACCTACTGAAGCCAGCTAATTGCTTATTAAAGTGTTTGTAAACCTCAGACATGAAATATGAACAAAGCATATCCCTCTATAGTGTACACTTGTCTCAGTCCAGAGTACTGTGTAATTTCTGTCTGCTGTCTCCTTCCTCTGCTGTCAGTATGAATCACTTCTGATGAGTTTTCCTGACACCAAGAGAAAAGGTGACAGGGAAGGGCACAGCCTATGATTGACAGCCTCAGCTCTGTTCCTGTGTGTTGGGTGGGGAGTGTCTCTTCCCTCCAATCAGCTCTCAGAGCTCTCCTCACTGATGAAACTTCAGCTCTCCGCCCCCTGCTTTTCAGAGCGGAGAGATCCTGTGTAAATTTTGCACTTTGAATAGATGTAGGGAAACTGTGGCTGCAGGTAAACAGGTGCAACTTATGTAGGAGAATTTGTTTCATCTCTGTGTACCACCTGAGGCCAGTCACTTCACTGGGGATATGGAAGGGTTTACAGCCACTTTAAGGTTAGCTCTCCAAAGATAGATTTGTAATTATTAGTGATTACGACTTTATTAAAGCTTAGTGATTTTAGTTATTTTCTAGACGTTTGCTGAACATTCGCTGCTAATCAGACTGTAAGAGCTACAAACGGCAACCAATCCAAAAGCAGATTCTGCCAGCTCTGAGTATGTTCTAATGAAAGTCTAATTCTGATTGGTTGGTATGCTGGTATTAAATAAGCCCATATGTGTTTCTGTTTTCCAGTGGAAGTGTACAACTGTGCATCTGAGACCGCCGACTGCTCCCTGTGCCGCGGACGCACCGATCTGGGGCACCTGTGCACTTGGAGTGAGAACAGCGCCTCCTGCAGGCTGAAAAGTGAATCACTTCCTGTTCAGGGTACTTGCCCTGCCCCTGAGATCTGGAAGGTATATTATTTTAGAATTGGTTTATCCTAATCTGTTTATTTTTCTTTTCTTTCTTTCTTTCTTCCTCTCTTCTTTTCTTTTTCTCTTTCTTTCTTTCTCTTTCTTTTCTTTCTTTCTTCACTTTTTTCTTTCTCTTTCTTTTCTTTCTTTCTTCACTTTTCTTTCTCTTACTTTTCTTTCTTTCTTCACTTTGCTTTCTCTTTCTTTTCTTTTTTTCTTCACTTTTCTTTCTCTTTCTTTTCTTCTTTCTTCACTTTTCTTTCTTTCTTTCTTCCTCTCTTATTTTCTTTTCTTTTTCTTTCTTCACTTTTCTTTCTTTCTTTCTTCCTCTCTTCTTTTCTTTCTTTCTTTCTTTTCTTTTTCTTTCTTTCTTTTTTTTTCTCTTCTTTCTTTCTTTGTCTTTCTTTCCTTTCTTTCTTCACTTTTCTTTCTCTTACTTTTCTTTCTTTCTTCACTTTTCTTTCTCTTTCTTTTCTTTCTTTCTTCACTTTTCTTTCTTTCTTTCTCTCTTCTTTTCTTTTTCTTTTTCTTTCTTTTTTTTTTTCTCTCTTCCTTCTTTTTCTTTCTCTTTCTTTCTTTCTTTCTTTCTTTCGTTCGTTCGTTCGTTCTTTCATTCTTTCTTTCTTCTCTTCATTCGCTTTTCTTTCTCTCTTTCTTTCTTCTCTGCGTTCACTTTTCTTTTCTTCTCTTTTTCTTTTTCTCTTTCTTTCTTTCTTTCTTTTCTTTCTTTCTTTCTTTCTTTCTTTCTTTCTTTCTTTCTTTCTTTCTTTCTTTCTTTCTTTCCTCTCTTCCTCTTTTTTTCTTTTTCTCTTTCTTTCTTTCTCTTTCTTTCTTCACTTTTCTTCCTCTTACTTTTCTTTCTTTCTTCACTTTTCTTTCTTTCTTTCTCTCTACTTTTCTTTTCTTTTCTTTTTCTCTTTCTTTCTCTATTCTTTTCTTTTTCTCTTTCTTTCTCTCTCTTCTTTTCTTTTTTTCTCTTTCTTTCTTTCTTTCTCTTTCTTTTTTTTCTCTTTCTTTCTTTCTTTCTTTCTTTCTTTCTTTCTTTTCTTTCTTCACTTTTCTTTCTTTTTTTCGTTCTTTCTTTCTTCTCTTCATTCGCTTTTCTTTCTCTCTTTCTTCTATTCTGCATTCACTTTTCTTTTCTTTCTCTCTTTTTTTCTTTATTTCTTTCTTCTCTGCGTTCACTTTTCTTTTCTTCTCTTTCTCTTTCTTTCTTTCTTTCTTTCTTTCTTTCTTTCTTTCTTTCTTTCTTTCTTTTCTTTCTTTTCTTTCTCTGTCTCTTTCTTTCTTTCTCTCTCTCTCTCTCGCCCTGGTAAAGGTAGCGGCAGCGGAAGGGACCCCTTTCCGCCGCCTGTAGAAGTAAGCCTTGGCTTTATAGCCCCTATGACAGCTTTTACTTTGAAAGGAATCACCGGCTGAAATAAATGATATCTCTGTCATCGCTGCAGCGATTACTGAGATCTCACCCTTCCTATCCAGCGTTGTAGAGATACGCGGCTGGATGGGAAGTGGTTATTAATCCCCCGGTTCCCATCTGTGCGGGTGGTGCCGCTGCGGATCTGCATGAAAATCCATGCAGCCGCACCACCTGCACAGAGAATTGCGGACCTGCCGACCAGTGCGATTAGTTCTAATGGCACGCCACCCGCACTGGAAAACGCAACCGTACTGGGGACTGAGGTTCCCGTGCGGGCTGCATTTTCAGAAGAAGTGCAGAGACTTCTTCCCTGTCACGGGGCACAGGAGTCCATTCAAATGAGTGGGTTCTCCTGCCCGTGCAAAATGCAGCCCGCACAGCCGCATATATGTGAACCGGGGGTAAAGTATAAACTGTAGTTTGTCGCAGATTTGATTTTTCAGATTTTTGCGCCTCTCCCCTCAGATAGAGCCGGTGAGCGGACCTTTGCATGGCGGCACTTTGCTTACAATCCTCGGACGCAATCTGGGCAGCCGCTATAGTGACATCGCGGACAAAGTGGCGATCGGAGACGTTCCCTGTACGCCCATCGCAGACAGATACCTGGTGTCACAAGAGTGAGTTTTGCTTGCAAATTATTATGAATTTTAATGAAATTGCTGCATAACTAAATATTTTTAAGAAACAGATTATTTTCTTCAGAGCGGGTTCTCTGTTTTCTAGTATTTGGAGCAATTCGCTTGCCGCAAGCAGGAAATCAGAAATTTCATATTAAACTTTCTTCTGTTGAATCACCGAACTAGCATTCAACCGTGTTTGAAAATCTTTCTGTAACCGGCTTCCACTCGCCCAACGAATAAAATTCAAAATCATACAAAGTCATCCACAACTCTGCCCCCGGCTACATCACCAATCTGGTCTCAAAATATCAACCAAACCGCAGTCTTCATTCCTCCCAAGACCTTCTGCTCTCTAGTTCCCGTGTCACCTCTTCCCATGCTCACCTCCAGGACTTTTCCCAAGCTTCTCCCATCCTATGGAACTCCCTACCCCAATCTGTCTGGCTATCTCCTAATCTATCCACCTTTAGACAATCCCTGAAAACCTTTCCCTGCTTCTAACTAGTAAACTGCCATTGTTTCCACCATCAGCCCATCCCCCACAGCTGTTACCTTTTGTATCACTCAACCCTTCCTCTTAGATTGTAAGAACGGGCCCTCTGTTTCCTCTTGTACCAAATTGTATTGTAACTGTAATGACTGCCTTCATTTTGTAAAGCTCTGCGCACACTGTTGGCGCCATATAACTCCTGTATAATAATAATTTGACCTTGCTGTCCTTTAAATTAACCCTTCAAATCTGTTTTGCTTTCTTTTCCAAGGATCGTCTGTGTGACAGGGATGTCTGCTCGTGAGCTGAGCGATTGGGTGACCCTGGATATTAATGGGGGGGGACACTCAAAAGAGAAATATTCCTTTATGGTAAGGGCTTGCTGGGACAGGTAATTGGGCTGGTTTACTAAAAGAGTTGACAATCTTTACACACTGGGAGTAGAAAAGGTCCCAATGTTACACATTACCCAATGTCTGGTTGAAAAAAGACACAAGACCATTCAGATCAAGTAATGTGTGAAAAAGTAATGCCCCATCATTGGTGTCTGAGGAACTGTGCCCCATCATTGGTGTCAGTGGGAGGAATTGTAACCCATTATTGGTATCAGTGGGAGGAATAGTGCCCCATCATTGGTGTCAGTGGGAGGAATTGTAACCCATTATTGGTATCAGTGGGAGGAATAGTGCCCCATCATTGGTGTCAGTGGGAGGAATTGTAACCCATTATTGGTATCAGTGGGAGGAATAGTGCCCCATCATTGGTGTCAGTGGCAGGAATAGTGCCCCATCATTGGTGTCAGTGGGAGGAATAGTGTCCCATCATTGGTGTCAGTGGGAGGAATAGTGCTCCATCATTGGTATCAGTGGGAGGAATAGTGCTCCATCATTGGTATCAGTGGGAGGAATAGTGTCCCATCATTGGTGTCAGTGGGAGGAATAGTGCCCCATCATTGGTATCAGTGGGAGGAATAGTGCTCCATCATTGGTATCAGTGGGAGGAATAGTGCCCCATCATTGGTGTCAGTGGGAGGAATTGTGCCCCATCTTTGGTGTTAGTGGAAGGAATTGTGGCCCTTTGTTGGTGACAGTGGAAGGAATTTGAATCCATCATTAGTGTTATTGGGAGGAATTGTAACCCATCTTTGGTTTTATTGGAAGGAATTGTGCCCCATCAATGGTGTCAGTGGGAGGAATTGTGCCCCATCTTTGGTTTTAGTGAGAGGAATTGTGCCCCATCATTGGTAACAGTAGGAGGAATAGTGCCCCATCATTGGTGTCAGTGGGAAGAATAGTGCCCCATCATTGGTATCAGTGGAAGGAATAGTGCCCCATCATTGGTGTCAGCGGAAGGAATAGTGCCCGATCATTGGTGTCAGTGGGAGGAATAGTGCCCCATCATTGGTGTCAGTGGGAGGAATAGTGCCCCATCATTGGTAACAGTAGGAGGAATAGTGCCCAATCATTGGTATCAGTAGGAGGAATAGTGTCCCATCATTGGTGTCAGTGGGAGGAATAGTGCCCCATCATTAGTGTCAGTGGGAGGAATAGTGCCCCATCATTGGTAACAGTAGGAGGAATAGTACCCCATCATTGGTTTCAGTGGGAGGAATAGTACCCCATCATTGGTGTCAGTGGGAGGAATATTGCCCCATTGGTGTCAGTTGGAGGATTAGTGCCCCATCGTTGGTGTCAGTGGGAGGAATTGTGCCCCATCTTTGGTGTTAGTGAGAGGAATTGTAACCCATTGTTGGTGTTATTGGGAGGAATTGTAACCCATCTTTGGTGGTAGCAGGAGGAATTGTGCCCAATCATTGGTGTCAGTGGGCCCCTTTGTTAGTGTCTTTGGTAGAAATTGTGCCTCATTGTTGATGTCAGTGGGGGGAATTATGCCCCATTGGTGGTGTCAGTGAATTAAATATTCCCCAAGGGCTAGATAAAAGCAAGCAAAGGGCCACATCATTAATGTGTGATAGAGCACCTCCTTCTTGCCCCCCAGACAGCTTCCTCTTTTACAGTCCCTTTCCCTTTCTTACACCCCTATGAACTGGGAATCTTCTGTGGTTATTGTTTGGTGTCTCATTGCACTGTAATCCCACTCAGGTTCCAAAGATCTATTCCATGTTCCCAAGTCTTGGCCCAAAAGCTGGAGGAACCAAAGTTACTATTTCCGGGAACCAGCTTGACATCGGCGGAGACGTGCGCGTCCTGTTTGATGACACCTTGGAATGCAGAGACCTTGTGTGAGCTGCCATATCAACCTTTTTTGTTTCATCCAGCAATCTCTTATTTGAAACTCTCAGATCTTCTTCCAGTCTTTCTGTTGTATACATTCCTGTCTTAGTAAATCATTTCTATGTCTCTCTCTCTCTCTTCTTCTTCTTCTCCTTTTACATCTCTTTGTTATGTCCTCCCAGACGCACAGAGAACATCATCCGTTGCACCGTTCCAGCGATGGGCTCCCTTCCCAACATGAATGTCACGGTTTGTGTCCAGTTCGAAAGAAGCTCTTGTCTAGATGGGAATTTTACTTTCCAATACAAAGAGAACCCAGTGATCAAAAACATGGAGCCCAGAAGCAGCCACATGAGGTGGGTATTCGGATGTATTTTGTTGGCCGGCAACTGAAGCTTCTAAGCCCTATAGGGGTCTAATATATGACCAAAGGTACATGGACACGCCTCCAAATAAATGAGTCCTGGTGTCTCCATGACGGGTATTCTTAATGCTGGAGCATAGAAAGACTGAAACCTTCCACTCTCATCCAGGATTCTGAGGAATCATAGAGTTCCTCCAACGGTTGCCAGTCGTTTCTTGAGCCGTGGCTGATTGACCCACATTTGATGGTGCCTGCAGATCCAACACAACTTGGAGGATCAGTGGCATGGCATCAAGGATTTTTTTTTTTTGCTATCTGCAAGGGTGGCATTCTGACCACCACTGTAAGATAGGCATTCTTCTCACTGACCACCAATTAATTATTTTTTCAGGGGTTCCCTAAGACCTGAAAATTATTTTAAGGGTTCCCTCTAGGCCAGGGGTGGGCAAACTTTTTGACTTGAGGGCTGCAATGGGTTCATATATTGGACCCGGGGGCCGGACCAAGAGTAGATGAATGATGTGTATGTGTCATCCATAGTAAGCATAGTAATATTCCCCCATAGTAAGCATAGTAATTAATCCCCCATATAGTAATTCATCCCCCATATAGTAATTCATCCCCCATATAGTAATTCATCCCTCATATAGTAATACATCCCCCATATAGTAATTCATCCCCCCTATAGTAATTCATCCCCCATATAGTAATTCATCCCCCATAGTAATTCATCCCCCATAGTAATTAATCCCCCATATAGTAATTCATCCCCCATAGTAATTCATCCCCCCTATAGTAATTAATCCCCCATATAGTAATTCATCCCCCATATAGTACTTCATCCCCCATATAGTAATTCATCCCCCATAGTAATTCATCCCCCATAGTAATTCATCCCCCATATAGTAATACATCCCCCATAGTAATTCATCCCCCATAGTAATTCATCCCCCATATAGTAATTCATCCCCCATAGTAATTAATCCCCCATATAGTAATTCATCCCCCATAGTAATTCATCCCCCCTATAGTAATTCATCCCCCATAGTAATTAATCCCCCATATAGTAATTCATCCTACATAGTAATTCATCCCCCATAGTAATTCATCCCCCATATAGTAATTCATCCCCCATAGTAATTCATCCCCCATATAGTAATACATCCCCCATAGTAATTCATCCCCCATAGTAATTCATCCCCCATATAGTAATTCATCCCCCATATAGTAATTCATCCCCCATAGTAATTCATCCCCCATATAGTAATTCATCCCCCATAGTAATTCATCCCCCATATAGTAATTCATCCACCATAGTAATTCATCCCCCATATAGTAATTCATCCCCCCTATAGTAATTCATCCCCCATAGTAATTCATCCCCCATATAGTAATTCATCCCCCATAGTAATTCATCCCCCATATAGTAATTCATCCCCCATAGTAATTCATTCCCCATATTAATTCATCCCTCATATAGTATTTCATCCCCCACAGTACTATTCCCCCCCCAAGTAGTAAGCCAAGTCCCCCCCGTGTCAATTCACTTACCTTTGCTCCGCGCGTTCCTCTCGCCGTGTTCCCGCGCCGTTCTGGTCTTCAGGGCGGACTGTGAGAGGAGCCTAGCTCCCCTCCCCTCACGTTCGTCACGCTGCCCCGCCTACACACATCCTGACAGCCACATCCGCGGGCCGGATTAAAAGGTCCGCCGGGCCGTATACGGCCCGCAGGCTGTAGTTTGCCCATTGCTGGTCTAGGCTAAGCAACGTTGAGAAAGATTGTTTTAGACAAATCTGTGCTTCAAACCTTGAAGCAACAGTTTGGGAAACAGGCGTGGCCTGCACAGATCCCTGACCTCAACCCTACTGAACACCTTTGAAAAGAATTGGAACCCCAACTGTGAGCCAGATCTTGTCATCCAACATCAGTTCCTGACCACGGAAATGTCCATGAATTCCCACAGACACTCCAAAATCTTGTGAAAAGCCTTCCCAGAAGAGAGGGGGCTTCTTCAAACACAAAGCAGGGGCCACCGTCATGTTTTTGTCTATGGTTTTGGAATGGGATGTCCAACAAACTCATATAGGTGTGATGGTCAGATGTCCACAAATTTTTGGTCATGCAGTGCAAGTAAAGTCCGGGTAAATATTAAATAATAAATTGCAGAGTTGCTGTATATGAAAGCATTGATGGAAATCTGTACTGAAAAATATTGTAGGTTTCTACAGCCTGCTGGATCACTGGTGAGGCTGGTCACCACGGAGGCCAAGCACAGAGCATTTGATGTGTTTTCTTCTTTGTAGTGGAGGTCGAATCATCACTCTTACTGGAGAACGATTCAGCCTAGTTCAAGACGTGAAGATAAAGATTAAAAACCATAATGGAGGACAAATGGTAAATATTACCTTAGGATATATTGTTAAAGTGGACCTGTCAGTAATTTTGCTGCTTGAATGCATTCTTAACATGTAACAATATACAGCAGTGGTCTCCAAACTGCAAACCAAGGGCTAAATGTGGCCCTTTACTTGCCATTTTCCAGCCCTTGGGGCACTATTCCTCCCACTGACACCGATGATGGGCCACTATTCCTCCCACTAATACCAATGATGGGGCACTATTCCTCCCACTGACACCGATGATGGGCCACTATTCCTCCCACTAATACCAATGATGGGGCACTATTCCTCCCACTGACACCAATGATGGGGCACTATTCCTCCCACTGACACCAATGTTGGGGCACTATTCCTCCCACTGACACCAATGATGGGGCACTATTCTTCCCACTGACACCAATGATGGGGCACTATTTCTCCCACTAATACCAATGATGGGGCACTATTCCTCCCACTGACACCAATGATGGGACACTATTCCTCCCACTGACACCAATGATGGGGCACTATTCCTTCCACTGATACCAATGATGGGACACTATTCCTTCCACTGACACCAATGATGGGGCACTATTCCTTCCACCGACACCAATGATGGGGCACTATTCCTTCCACCGACACCAATGATGGGGCACTATTCCTTCCACTGATACCAATGATGGGGCACTATTCCTCCCACTGATACCAATGATGGGGCACTATTCCTCCCACTGATACCAATGATGGGGCACTATTCCTGCCACTGATACCAATGATGGGGCACTATTCCTCCCACTGACACCAATGATGGGGCACCAATCCTCCCACTAATACCAATGATGGGGCACTATTCCTCCCACTGATACCAATGATGGGGCACTATTCCTCCCACTGATACCAATGATGGGGCACTATTCCTCCCACTGACACCAATGAGGGGGCACGATTCCTCCCACTGATACCAATGATGGGGCACTATTCCTCCCACTGACACCAATGACGGGGCACTATTCCTCCCACTGATACCAATGATGGGGCACTATTCCTCCCACTGATACCAATGATGGGGCACTATTCCTCCCACTGACACCAATGATGGGGCACTATTCCTCCCACTGACACCAATGATGGGGCACTATTCCTCCCACTGATACCAATGATGGGGCACTATTCCTCCCACTGACACCAATGATGGGGCACTATTCCTCCCACTGATACCAATAATAGGGCACTATTCCTCCCACTGACACCAATGATGGGGCACTATTCCTTCCACTGACACCAATGATGGGGCACTAATCCTCCTACTGATACCAATGATGGGGCACTATTCCTCCCACTGACACCAATGATGGGGCACTATTCCTCCCACTGATACCAATGATGGGGCACTATTCCTCCCACTGATACCAATGATGGGACATTATTCCTCCCACTGACACCAATGATGGGGCACTATTCCCCCCACTAATACCAATGATGGGGCACTATTCCTCCCACTGACACCAATGATGGGGCACTATTCCTCCCACTGACACCAATGATGGGGCACTATTCCTCCCACAGATACCAATGATGGGGCACTATTCCCCCCACTAATACCAATGATGGGGCACTATTCCACCCACTGACACCAATGATGGGGCACTATTCCTCCCACTACTACCAATGATGGGGCACTATTCCTCCCACTGATACTAATGATGGGGCACTATTCCTCTCACTGATACCAATGATGGGGCACTATTCCTCCCGCTAATATGAATGATGGGGCACTATTCCTCCCACTGACACCAATGATGGGGCACTATTCCTCCCACTGATACCAATGACGGGGCACTATTCCTCCCACTGACACCAATGATGGGACACTATTCCTCCCACTGATACCAATGATGGGGCACTATTCCTCCCACTGATACCAATGATGGGGCACTATTCCACCCACTGATACCAATGATGGGGCACTATTCCTCCCACTGATACCAATGATGGGGCACTATTCCTCCCACTGACACCAATGATGGGGCACTATTCCTCCCACTGACACCAATGATGGGGCACTATTCCTCCCACTAATACCAATGATGGGACACTATTCCTCCCACTGACACCAATGATGGGGCACTATTCCTCCCACTGACACCAATGATGGGGCACTATTCCTCCCACTGATACCAATGATGGGGAATTATTCCTCCCACTGACACCAATGATGGGGCACTATTCCTCCCACTGACACCAATGATGGGGCACTATTCCTCCCACTGACACCAATGATGGGGCACTATTCCTCCCACTGATACCAATGATGGGGCACTATTCCTCCCACTGACACCAATGATGGGGCACTATTCCTCCCACTGATACCAATGATGGGGCACTATTCCAACTCCCTACTCGACTACTGCAACTCCCTCCTCACTGGCCTACCCAAGTGCAGGCTCTCCCCGCTCCAGACCATCCTGAACTCAGCTGCCAGACTCATCCACCTCTGCCACCCCCCTCTGCCTCTCCCTCCACTGGCTCCCGATTGCCCAACGCATCAAATTTAAACTCCTAACCCTGACCTACAAAGCCGTTCACAACACTGCCCCTGACTACCTCACCAACCTGATTCCCAAGTACCACCCTACCCGTACCCTTCGCTCCTCACAGGACCTCCTTCTATCCTGCTCCCTGGTCTCCTCCTCCCATGCACGACTGCAGGACTTCTCCAGGTCCTCCCCCATCCTCTGGAACTCACTGCCCCAATCTATCAGACTGTCGCCTTCCCTATTCACATTCAGGCGCTCCCTCAAAACCCATCTCTTCAGGGAAGCCTACCCCACCCTCACCTAACGGCCATCCTCCCTCATTCCTCCCACCACTTCATCCCCCTCAGCCACTTCCTACTGTACCTTTTCCCCCTCCCTCCTAGATTGTAAGCTCGTAAGAGTAGGGCCCTCTTACCCCTCGTACATTGTTTGTTGTTGTTGTACTGTGCCATGTATTGTCCCCCCCTATTGTACAGCGCTGAGCAAACCCTTTGGCGCTATATAAACTCGTAGTAATAATAATAATAATAATAATTCCTCCCACTGACACCAATGATGGGGCACTATTCCTCCCACTGACACCAATGATGGGGCACTATTCCTCCCACTGACACCAATGATGGGGCACTATTCCTCCCACTGACACCAATGATGGGGCACTATTCCTCCCACTGACACCAATGATGGGGCACTATTCCTCCCACTGATACCAATGATGGGGCACTATTCCTCCCACTGACACCAATGATGGGGCACTATTCCTCCCACTGACACCAATGATGGGGCACTATTCCTCCCACTGACACCAATGATGGGGCACTATTCCTCCCACTGATACCAATGATGGGGCACTATTCCTCCCACTGACACCAATGATGGGGCACTATTCCTCCCACTGACACCAATGATGGGGCACTATTCCTCCCACTGATACCAATGATGGGGCACTATTCCTTCCACTGACACCAATGATGGGGCACTATTCCTCCCACTGATACCAATGATGGGGCACTATTCCTCCCACTGACACCAATGATGGGGCACTATTCCTCCCACTAATACCAATGATGGGACATTGGTTCTATCCACTGACAACGGGTCATTTTTTTCTCCCACTGGCCAAAGTCCGGCCCCCCTAAAGTGTGAAGGACAATAAACTGTTCCTTTGTTTGGAAAGATTGGAGACTCCTGATGTACAGCAATCCTCATGACAGGCAATCTAAACCCGACCCAATCAAAAAGTTTGACTTTAGACCAGTTTAGGAGTTTTTGTTTAAATTTGATGGTCATCTACACGTCAGGAGGTGCTCTCATGGTTGTCATTTTGACTTTACTTTTAGAACTGCACTGTTATGAGTGACACGGTGATCACCTGCCCATCCCCCACTGCCCCCAACACCACGCAGGAGAAAAAAAACATCAGTGTCTCCTTCTACGTCAACGGTGTCTATGATCTGTCCAACGAGGAACTCAGAGATGACCAATCAGAGACGGGATCCAGCAAGTTCAGCCTGGAATATCAACCCAACCCCTTGTTCTTCACCGCCCAGAGGGAGAAGCTGATCAAACACCATGTTGGAGAACCCCTGACTTTGGTCATACATGTGAGCAGGGATTTTTTTTTTTTTTCTCAGAGAATAGGTGCATGAACTCCCCCTTTTCTGAATCACCCCTTGTCTCCGCCCCCTACCTACCTCTGAGCACCGCCCCTTGGTTCCATCCCCTACTCACCTCCCAGTACTGCCCATTGTAGAGAATACAAAACCAGGTATCATATTGTCGTGCTAAGTAATTGTAATGGAATTTTTTAATGATTACAAGAAAAGCAGTAAAATAGATCCCCCAGCAACAATAGATCCCCCAAGAAGAATAGACCCCCCCCCCAGCAACAATAGATCCCACCAGTAACAATAGGTCTTCCCACAAAAATAGACCCTCCAGTAACACTAGACCCCCAGTAAAAATAGATCCGCACAGGACAATAGACCCCAAGCATCAGTAGATACCCCACAACACTATCCCCCCAGCAACAAAAGATCCCCGACAACAATAGACCCCTCCAGCATCAATGATACCCCTGCAACAAAATACCAGCTCAGCAATAGATTCACTCCAGCAATGATAGACCCGCAGCAGCAACAACAGATCTCCCAGCAGCCAGCATCAACAGACCTCTCCCTCAACATTAGATCCATCCCAGCAACAATTGCCCCCCACCCCAGCAATTATAGACCCCCCAGCAGCAACAACAGATCTCCCAGGAGCCAGCATCAACATACCCCTCCCTCAACATTAGATCCATCCCAGCAATAATATACCCTCAGCAACAACAACAGATCTCCCAGAAGCCAGCATCAACAGACCTATCCCTCAACATTAGATCCATCCAAGCAACAATTGCCCACCCCAGCAGTTATAGACCCCCAGCAGCAACAACAGATCTCCCAGCAGCCAGCATCAACATACCCCTGTCTCAACATTAGATCCATCCCAGCAACAATTGCCCCTCCCCCCACCCCAGCAATTATAGACCCCCAGCAGCAACAACAGATCTCCCAGCAACCAGCATCAACATACCCCCGTCTCAACATTAGATCCATCCCAGCAACAATTGCTCCCCCACCCATCAATATTAGACCCCCAGCAGCAACAACAGATCTCCCAGCAGCCAGCATCAACATACCCCTGTCTCAACATTAGATCCATCCCAGCAACAATTGCTCCCCTACCCATCAATAATAGACCCCCAGCAGCAACAACAGATCTCCCAGCAGCCAGCATCAACATACCCCTGTCTCAACATTAAATCCATCCCAGCAACAATTGCTCCCCACCCATCAATAATAGACCCCCAGCAGCAACAACAGATCTCCCAGCAGCCAGCATCAACATACCGCTGTCTCAACATTAGATCCATCCCAGCAACAATTGCTCCCCCACCCATCAATAATAGACCCCCAGCAGCAACAACAGATCTCCCAGCAGCCAGCATCAACAGACCTCTCCCTCAACATTAGATCAATCCAAGCAACAATTGCCCCCCCCCCCCCCCCCCAGCAACAATAGACCCCCACCAGCAACAGTAGACCTCCCGAGCGACAATAAATCCCCCAGCAGCAGCATCATTAACCACTTCCCGACCGGCCGTTGTATATAAACGGCCGGACGGTGGCAGTGCAGGGTCGGGTGGCCGTCTATAAACAGCCTCCCCGCACCCTGCTTGTGCGCGCTCCCTGGGAGCGCGCAGCACCGCGATCCGGTGCCCGCTGTGTCCTCCGGACACAGTGAAACACCGATCGTCGGACGGGACCTCTATACGAGGTCCCGATCATGTGATCACTGATTGGCCAATCAGTGATCACATGCAAAGTAGTAAGCAAGATGTCACTTGTGACATCATTGCTTACTACGTGTGAAATCTGTGAATGATCACAGAGGTCACATGGTACAAGCCTATTCACAACAGGCTTGTACCATGTGACAAGCTGTGACCAATCACAGCTCAGTCAGTACTTCTCAATGAGAGTGCAGGAATGCAGACAGAGAGAAAGAGAAATGATTGCTTTTACATCCTATATGGGTGTAAAAGCAATCAGTGTAAAAAAAAAAAAAAATCTTCATCACCCCCCACAAGTAGTACAGTGTCACCATGGTGACACTATACTGCTTGGGTGACAGTATGCAAAAAAATAAAATAAAAAATAAAAAATAATATAAAAAAATAAAATAAAAATATAAAAAAAATGTTTAAAAATTATAATTTTTGTTATAAACTAATTTGGATTTTTTTTTTTTTTACTAAAAAGATAATGGAATAAATTTTGGGAAAGATTTATGATGAAATATTATTTATTTGCAAAATTTTATTAAAAAAAACACTTTTTTTTCAAAATTTTTGGACTTTTTCATTTACATAGCAAAAAAAATAAAAATCCCAGCGGTGAATAAATACCACCAAAATAAAGCTTTATCTGTCTCAAAAAAAATGGTAAAAAATTCAATTGGGTACAGCGTTTCATGATTGCGTAATTGTCATTCAAAGTGTGATAGCGCTGAAAGCTGAAAATTGCCCTGGTCAGGAAGGGGGTAAAAGTGTCCGGTCTTGAAGTGGTTAATAGACCCTCCAAAACAATCCAGCACTCCTTTCCCTTACATACATTCAGTGCTGGAGGTGCCAAAACTACTCTCCCCCAGCTGAAAAATGCCCTGCATGGGGGAGGAGCTCAGTGATGACTCTTCACCCGCTGTATTCTGGGTAAGAGGGTAACGAGCAGCAAACGGCTTAATTCGCTCCTAACGGTTATTATATCTCTTCCCAGAAAGAACATGACGACCTGGGCCTGAGGGAGGATGAGTACCAAGTCAAGGTCGGCCATACTCCATGCGATCTGATAGTTTTCAATGACAAAGTCATCCACTGCACCATCAACGGGTCCTTAGACTCATCAGAGCGCTACCAACCTGTCACCGTAAGTAGTTTTTGGAGAGTATTTTGGAAACTTTTGCTACCTTCTCAACTCATCTGCCATGAAATCAGAATGATTCAGGATCCATATTCTCATCTACACCCATTCCAAACAACAGCGAGCAGAAGGTTCAAGTCCCAACATCTTGTTGGTCTGGGTCTCAGGTTAGAGGTTGTGTTTCTACTGTTCTTTTTAAAAAAAGAAGATATAAATAAATGCAGCATTCATGAATACATTTATATATTTATTTCAGGTACTTATATAGCGCCATCAATGTACGCAGCGCTTTACATATATATTGTACATTCACATCAGTCCCTAACCCTCAAGGGGCGTACAATCTAAGGTCCCTAACCCTCAAGGGGCGTACAATCTTAGGTCCCTAACCCTCAAGTGGCGTACAATCTAAGGTCCCTAACCCTCAAGGGGCGTACAATCTAAGGTCCCTAACCCTCAAGGGGCGTACAATCTAAGGTCCCTAACCCTCAAGGGGCATACAATCTAAGGTCCCTAACCCTCAAGGGGCGTACAATCTTAGGTCCCTAACCCTCAAGGGGCGTACAATCTAAGGAACCTAACCCTTAAGGGGCGTACAATCTAAGGTCCCTAACCCTCAAGGGGCGTATAATCTAAGGTCCCTAACCCTCAAGGGGCGTGCAATCTAAGGTCCCTAACCCTCAAGGGGCGTACAATCTAAGGTCCCTAACCCTCAAGGGGCGTACAATCTAAGGTCCCTGACCCTCAAGGGGCGTACAATCTAAGGTCCCTAACCCTCAAGGGGCGTACAATCTAAGGTCCCTAACCCTCAAGGGGCGTACAATCTAAGGTCCCTAACCCTCAAGGGGTGTACAATCTAAGGTCCCTGACCCTCAAGGGGTGTACAATCTAAGGTCCATAATCCTCAAGGGGTGTACAATCTAAGGTCCCCGACCCTCAAGGGGCGTACAATCTAAGGTCCCTAACCCTCAAGGGGCGTACAATCTAAGGTCCCCGACCCTCAAGGGGCGTACAATCTAAGGTCCCTAACCCTCAAGGGGCGTACAATCTAAGGTCCCTAACCCTCAAGGGGCGTACAATCTAAGGTCCCTAACCCTCAAGGGGCGTACAATCTAAGGTCCCTAACCCTCAAGGGGCGTACAATCTAAGGTCCCTAACTCCCATTCATACATACACATACTAGGGACAATTTAGACAGGATCCAATTCACCTACCAGCATGTCTTTGGAGTGTGGGAGGAAACTGGAGTACCCGGAGGAAACCCACGCAGGCACAGGGAGAACATGCAAACTCCAGGCAGGAGGTGCTGTGGCTGGGATTTGAACCAACGGCTCCTAGTACTACCAGGTGGAAGTGCTAATCATTTAGCCACTGTGCTACCCTCAGCATAGAACGTGCTTTTCTTTTTCTAATGTAGCTAATGCAATGACTTGAGTTTAACTTGGTATCAGCCTTTTCCAGCTCCTGTGTAGCAGAGCTTAGACTGGGAAGGGGCTAAACAGCACTAGGAGCCAGTCAGTTGTGCCAACAATGCGCATGCTGATAGGAGGGCAGAGTTCTAGAGAAATGAGCTTTTCAGTTTGCTGCTTCTTTTGTCAATGTCCAGTCACAGTCTGAGGGAGGGACAGGCTCATAAGGTGTTCCTTAAAATACTCTCACTTCCATTTTTATTAAGGTGTTTGTTCCCGAGGGTATTATTTAGTGATGCACCGATGCCCGCCGAAAATGATTGGTCGAAAACTGGGTTTTGCTGATGGATAAAAAAAAGTTGCTGATAATGATATTCGGCTTCAACACCAAATTGCGTCCTATTGACTTCAACGCAAAATCGGGTCCCATTGGCTTCAAATCAAAATCTCGTCCTATTGACTTCAATGCAAAAGCGCCCCCCTATTGACTTCAATGCAAAAACGTGTCGCATTGATTTCAAAGCAAAATCACATCCCATTGACTTCAATGCAAAAGCGCCCCCTATTTACTTCAATGCAAAATCGCGTCCAAATGACTTCAATGCAAAATCACATCCTATTGACTTCAATGCAAAAAGCCCCCTGTTGACTTCAATGAAAATATTGTATATATATCTCATTGTAATTTCTGTCCAATTTGTATGTGTTATTTTCAATATAATTATTTTACGTTACTATATTGTATTTTTTTTTATTTCATATTAATTTTAATTCATGAGAATAATTAAAAAGTAAAATCTAACACAATTATATATAAAAAATGTATTTTTTTAAACAAGTGTCCATTTTATTTTTGGTGTTTTCTGTGCACCACTAGTAGGATTTTGTCCTATGTGCTGCCTAAGGCTAGCTTTGAGGTCAGACAAGGTGCCCCTCCTCCCTCCATGGCCACCCGACAGCACAGCTGGCAAGGAGATGGGCTGGTTTGACAGGTGGCACTCGGTCTCCAAGCACCTGCCCGCTTGCCTGGTTAGCTGACAAGCCCCCATCCCCCCAGCATTCTCACATGACGCTTGTTTCGCACAAGTGGTTGGTAATGGAGAAAAGTGCCACCTTGCTAGCTGTGCTATCTGACGGCCATGGAGTCCCATCCTCTCACCGGTGGTGTCCCTGGTGTCTCTGTCACCTGATCTTCATCCTCCAGCTCTGGACCAGGGATTTGCTGCCCTCAATCTTCTCAATGTGTCTCTTCTTCATGAAGGCGACTGGTAGACTCCAGTCACTGAGCTCAGTGTCCTCTGCCTGGGGAGTTCTGCCTGGGCAATAGGAGATCATGGGGCCCCTTGTGTCCACACACAAAGCCCACCTACGTATTGCACTGCCAACTCTCCTCTGCCAAGGTATCTCCAGTGACCCCACCCCTGGTTTCTCTCCCCAAAGAGTTCCATCCTCTCAACGGTGGCGTCCCCGGCATCTCTGGTGTCTCTGTCACCTGATCTTCATCCTCCAGCTCTGGGCCAGGGATTTGCAGCCCTCAATCTTCTCAATGTGTCTCTTCTTCATGAAGGTGATTGGTAGGCTCCAGTCACTGAGCTCAGTGTCCTCTGCCTGGGGAGTCCTGCCTAGGCAATAGGAGATCATGGGGTCCCTTGTGTCCCCACACAAAGCCCACCTACGTATTGCACTGCCACCTCTCCTCTGCCAAGGTATCTCCAGTGACCCAACCCCTGGTTTCTCTCCACCCTCTTCCCAAAGTGTCCCATTCTCTCTCCTGTGGCGTCTCTGGTGTCTCTGTCTCCTGATCTTCATCCTCCAGCTCTGGGCCAGGGATTTGCAGCCCTCAACCTTCTCAATGTGTCTCTTCTTCATGAAGGCGACTGGTAGGCTCCAGTCACTGAGCTCAGTGTCCTCCACCCTGGGGAGTCCTGCCAGCCCCAGGCTCTGCAGCTCCATCTCAGCCCGACCACTGCGCCGCCTCTTCTCTATGGGTGCCACCATATTGGCTGCTCTAGTCATGCACTGCACGGATGGATCCTCTGGGAGACCAAAAGGGGCATATTCACGATAGGGTGAGGAGGGAGGGGTGGAGCTGAGGATAACATAGACTGTCCAGAAAGGTGGAGACTTAAAGCTTGCGACCCAGTAAAGGTACCAGAAGCCTCTCATAGGGCCACCCACTGGCCCCAGGCCCTCTGGCAGTTCCCGATTGGTCAGTCGGTTCTTGTAGAACACAAAATTAACAATCTTCTTTACCTGAATCAGGTCTCCTGCCCTGCCAACTAGGGCTGTGCTATGTGGCAGTCAACATTTTCAAGACTTGGTGGACAGAAATCCTTTGGCATGTAAAACAGCTTCCATATATGTGTTCATATGTGAGTGTATTCACCTGTTTGCCTGAAATTCAGAGTTAGCCTATCCTAAAAACAAGTAATGTGCAACTGCAAAAGCACCGGTGGTGGCCATTGGCCATCTTAAGACAACAGGCATCCCGAATCTTTGTTCTTGTTGCCATTGCTGGAGCTCCACAGCCCATTGCTGCCTTTTCCTCAATGCCAACAGATTCCATAATCTTGTTCCCTTTTCCTTGTGGAAAAGGTTACAGCAGCTGGTGGGTCACACGGAGACGTTCCATTTTCTATGAACAATGTTTTGTTTGATAAGCATTCCAGATACTGAGAAGTCATCACTGTTATCTAACAAAGCACCACATGGCCTGATATTTTCCTGACCCTGACAAGGCAAGGGCCAAGTGTGTCACATGTCTTGGAAAACGGTTGGGCTGCCTTTGGCCACCCATAGATTTCATTTTTTCTCCATGTCATAAAACTATTGTGTTTTGGAAAGAGCCCAAGCCAAAAACACCAAGCAAGTATTGTGCATCGGTGTAGACAAAGAGCCTTCAGCCATGGAACGACCATCGCAAGACCCACGAAGCCTATCGTTGAGGTTTCTCCCGCTCTGTCAAGAATAGAATATCTCAGTGTCGATGGACTGACAAGGCTTTTGTCTTTGGATGACCTAAAGCTGTACAGCAGACGTCTGGTGATAGAAGAGAGTCACATGATGGCAGCAAGTGACCTCTAGGATTCAATGGAGAGGGCAGAGATATGAATATCCCTTGTTCTGCTTTCTTGGCTGGGTTTTCACTGAGGCGAGCAACATTTTCCTACAGCTAAATAAAGTGTCCAGATGGTTTTACTACAATAGCAGAAACCCCCTACAATACCGACGTGCCAGGCAGACCGGGAAAGAAATGGAGGACTTTCCTGATATGACTCAAATAAAAGCTAATGAAAGAGAAAGAAATATATTTTGTATAAGAAAGATTTACATTTTTACAGGCCTACTGTGTTGGTGCCTCTTAACCCAAGAAGAAAAATGTCATGTATTGCAGCTTACCGGACCTAGATGGGTGGCTGAATTCATTTTCTTTTTTTTTTTTTTTTTAGGCCAAATACATTTCCACCACAGAAAAATGTGTTGATCCTGTCAGATATCCAGGGTCCTTGTAACTTCCTGTGGGCTCGACTGAAATTTCAAACATCACCTTTCCCAGTTCTCTTCCATGAACTGCAGATGGACTCCCCTTTGTGTATCGGAGATAGGGAAAAAAAGCAGATGTTCTGAAGTTCTAATGCTTCCCTGTCCTAGGGTGACAGTGCTTCTCCTCCATAGAAACAGTACAATGAGTAACTGCTGTCTCCCTAGGACAGGAAATGTGCTGCTGGCAGGATCACCAGGTTTGATAGTCAAGTGATCGATGTCTGTCTTGTCTTTTTGAGTAGGGTGGACACAACAGTCCTATGGGTCTTAGAAATGGCCCTGGAGAGAAGTAATGACAGGGCCAGTAGTGGGTGCATTGCATTTTTCATGTACGCTCTCCCCCATTGGGCCCAACCTGTGGTGTAAGGGCCACGTGCAGACCGTTGATATTTATTGTGTTGCCTTCTGACTTGTACGGTCCTCAGACCCCAATACCAATGAAGGCAAAGGGTCTACAGCTCAGGAGAGAAGTGATGATAGGGCCAGCAGTGGGTGCAACACATGGTTTGTAAAATGACTGTGATGCTAGTGATATCTAACAGTCTTTGGCTGTCTCCTGTAGCATTTCTGCAGTCCCCAACCATACCTGTAGCACACACACAGTCTCTGATTATCTCTTAAAGGGTGACCACAGTCTCTGATCACCTCATGAAGCATGTCCACAGTCTCCACTCATCTCTTGAAGGATGACCTAGTCTCTGGGCATCTCTTGAAGGATGTGCACAGTCTCTCCTGAAAGATCTCCACAATCTCTGATCACTTCCTGAAGGGTGTCCACAATTTTTGATCACCTCCTGAAGGGTGATTACAGTCTCTGATCATCTTCTGAAAAATGTCCGCTGTCTCTGATGATCCTTTGAAGGATGTCCACTGTTTATTATCATCTCCTGAAGGATGTCCACAGTCTCTGTTCATCTCCTGAAGTATGTCCACACTCTCTGTTCATCTCCTGAAGTATGTCCACAGTCTCTGATCATCTCCTGAAGGATGTCCACTGTCTCTGGTCATCTCCTGAAGGATGTCCACTGTCTCTGGTCATCTCCTGAAGGATGTCCACTGTCTCTGGTCATCTCCTGAAGGATGTCCACTGTCTCTGGTCATCTTATGAAGGATGTCCACTGTCTCTGATCATCTCCTGAAGGATGTCCACTGTCTCTGATCATCTCCTGAAGGATGTCCACTGTCTCTGACCATCTCCTGAAGAATGTCCACTGTCTCTGATCATCTCCTAAAGGATGTCCACTGTCTCTGATCATCTCCTGAAGGATGTCCACTGTCTCTGATCATCTCCTGAAGGATGTCCACTGTCTCTGATCATCTCCTGAAGGATGTCCACTGTCTCTGATCATCTCCTGAAGGATGTCCACTGCCTCTGATAATCTCCTGAAGGATGCCTACAATCTCATGAAGAATGTCCACAGTCTCTGATCATCTCCTGAAGGATGTCCACTGTCTCTGATCATCTCCTGAAGGATTTCCACTGTCTCTGATCATCTCCTGAAGGATGTCCACTGTCTCTGATCATCTTCTGAAGGATGTCCGCTGTCTCTGATCATCTCCTGAAGGATGTCCACTGCCTCTGATAATCTCCTGAAGGATGCCTACAATCTCATGAAGAATGTCCACAGTCTCTGATCATCTCCTGAAGGATGTCCACTGTCTCTGATCATCTCCTGAAGGATTTCCACTGTCTCTGATCATCTCCTGAAGGATGTCCACTGTCTCTGATCATCTTCTGAAGGATGTCCGCTGTCTCTGATCATCTCCTGAAGGATGTCCACTACCTCTGATAATCTCCTAAAGGTTGTCCATAGTTCCTGTTCATCTCCTGAAGGATGCCTACAATCTCATGAAGAATGTCCACAGTCTCTGATCATCTCCTAAAGAATTTCCACAATCTGATCATCTCCTGAAGGATGTCCACAGTTCCCAATCATCTCCTAAAGGATATCCACAATCTCCTGAAAAATGTCCACAGTCTCTGATCATCTTCTGAAGGATGTCCACAGTTCCTGATCATCTCCTGAAGGACGTCCATAGTTTCTGATCGTCCCGTGAGGGATGTTCAGAGTCTCTGACAGCTTTTTGTATCATTGAATATATTCTATGTCATGCTGAACTCTTTGGCGATGTCAGGAGCTGGCGTTGATCACCACTCCTGTATCCCATTATAGATTGTGGACCAGGTCTTCATTCACCCTCCATGTGGACAAAGAACTGTTCCTCCTGACGCTGCTTTCCAACATCCTAATTTTCATTCCAGAAACATATATTTCATTCCTTTCAGTCTCTGTGCTGATCTTTTTCAAAATCACATCCATACCGTTTCCTCCAGATTGTAAGTGACACATTTTCCACATCTGCAATCAAAGTGCCAGTGTCAGGTTGTCATCTGCATCTGCAAGTGTCACTTCACATTCCAATGCAAGCGTCATTATCATCTGCCTGCAGCTCAGGCTCATCATAGTTGGATATATTTGGATCGCTCCGTCTACACTAATGATTTGACGGCTTTTTTTTCTCTCCACAGGTACAAGTCGGTAAATACAACCAGACCATCACCATGCTTCATCTGGCCGGCATAGACACCTCAATCATTGTGTCTGTCATTATCTGTAGCATATTGTTGCTTCTGTCTGTGGTGGGTAAGTGTGTGCCTTAAATTGTCCAACTAAAGTGGGGTGGGGGCTGAATTCATTTTATTATAACGATTGACCAGACTTGATTGCATTGTGCCAGAAGCGCTCATTAGATTGTCTTCTCTCCCAGCACTCTTTGTCTTTTGCACCAAGAGCCGACGAGCCGAGCGTTATTGGCAGAAAACGCTCGTACAGATGGAAGAGATGGAGTCCCAGATCCGGGAAGAAATTAGAAGAGGTAATTGGGTGGCATTTGGGATTCCGACATTTTAGGCTGGCCATGCACTATACAATTTTCTTTCCAGTTTCTGCCCAATTTCCTTTAGATTTACCTTCAACTATGTAGTGCAAGGGCCGGCCTACTTGGATACAACTGAAAATGTTCTATAGGTTTGACCTCATATTATATGGTTTTTGGTAAGTCTAAACCAAAAATCTCAAGAAAATTGTATAATGTATGGCCAGCCTTAGGCCGGCCATACACTATACAATTTTCTGTCAAATTTCTGCCCAATTTCCTTTAGATTTACCTTATGCAGGCCATAGACGGGTCGAAAACCATCAGCTTAAAAAAAACGGCCGACGTTACCACCAATGGTAAAAAAAATCGGCCGATTTTCGTCCCGTCTACGGCCGGCATTTAATTACTTCTGTCCCTGCAGAGAGCTCCGCTATTATATTTGACATGAAAAAGTCTTGCGGTTGCAACAATGTATCTATTTGTATCCATTTCGGATACAGATGTTTTTATTCGGATAAAAATGGATACATTGTTGCAACCGCAAGACTTTTCATGTCAAATATAATAGCGGACTGGAATTCTTCTTCTTTTTCTTCTTCTTTTTTCTTCTTTTTCTTCTTCTTCTTTTTCTTCTTCTTTTTCTTCTTCTTCTTCTTCTTTTTCTTCTTCTTATTTTTCTTTTTCTTCTTATTTTTCTTCTTCTTCTTTTTCTTCTTCTTGCAGGTCACGGCTCATGCGCAGATTTTTTATCAGTAAAACGATCGGCTGATTTGCCCATCATTGCTGGGAAAATCGGCCGATCGTCAAAATGGCCCGCAAATTTTCCAACTTGACCGATAAAAAAAGTGCCAAACCCCGAAAAACAGCCAACCAATTAACCCACTAACAGTGCGATTATCAGCCGATTTTGTTTGGCCGAAAAATCGGCTGATTTTCGACCCGTCTATGGCCTGCATTAGTCTTAAGCCGGCCATAGATGGATCAAATCTTGGCTGGTTCAGCAGGGGCCGGGTAATTGTACTGAAGTCGATCCATCAACCGACTTCAGTACAGCCAGCTGCTCGGATTTTTTGCATGCAACTACTGCCGGCAGCTGTAGCCGCTAGCAGTAATCATTGTGTTCTGCCGTCAGGGAGGACTCCCCGCACCCAACCCCCCCCCCGACCAGCAGAACACAATAGCACAGCAGGAGGATTCCCCTGTCAACACTGACCTGTGGTTGCAGGAAAGAAGATTGCATCATCTATGGTTTCCCTTCGTTTTTTGTGTTTTTCTTTTTACTACAAGCACTGACAGAGTCTCTTTTGTCTCCGGTTGTAGGATTCGCCGAGTTGCAGACAGATATGACGGATCTGACCAAAGAGCTGAACCGCAGCCAGGGAATACCATTCCTGGAGTACAAGCATTTTGTGACCCGCACCTTCTTCCCAAAGGTATCCGACCCCCATCTGTGGCTTGGGTTTATAAATACGTGATCAGTAACTGATACGAAGTGACTATTTCTGTAGCGGATCTACAAAGACAAAATCCTATATACTAGGAAGGGATCCATTAAAGTGTTACTAAACCCCCAGCAGTACAATCAGTCTGTATATGCAGTAAAGCATGCTTGTTGTACTCACTGTGGAACCTAAGGGGTTAATCCTCTGCATTGTGTAAAAAGGATGCTTGATCCTGTCTTCTCTGATCCTCCCCTTCTTCCACTGTCCCCCATTTCATCTCCTGATAGAACAGATAGAATAGAATAGCCTCGGGGACACTTTGCACATGCTCAGTTTGGTGTGTATTGCTAGAGAGTTTTTTCTTTTTTTTGGGAAGGTGCATGTGATTAGCACAGGACCAATCAGCACTGTCCAGAAAGAGGTCAGGGATTCTGCATCCTCCTAGAGCAGAATGAAAACTCCTCCTACATGCTTTAACCAGTGCTCTGCTGCTGGACACTGAAGTCACAAAACTGCTCTAACTGCTGATGAGAAAAGGTATTTAGTAGTTTATATTTACTAAAACATTTGCCCTTCCGTGTTCTGTGTACTGTGGGAGACCAGATATAGTGAATGCAGGGTCCTGGGAGACCAAAAATAGTGAATGCAGGGTCCAGAGAGACCAGATATAGTGAAAGCAGGGTCCAGGAAGAGCGGATATAGTGAATGCGGGGTCCGGGGAGACCGGATATAGTGAATGCAGGGTCCGGGGAGAGCGGATATAGTGAATGCGGGGTCCGGGGAGACCAGATATAGTGAAAGCAGGGTCCAGGAAGAGCGGATATAGTGAATGCGGGGTCCTGGGAGAGCGGATATAGTGAATGCAGGGTCTGAGGAGACCAGATATAGTGAATGCGGGTCCGGGGAGAGCGGATATAGTGAATGCGGGGTCCGGGGAGAGCGGATATAGTGAATGCGGGGTCCGGGGAGAGCGGATATAGTGAATGCGGGGTCCGGGGAGAGCGGATATAGGGAATGCAGGGTCCGGGGAGAGCGGATATAGTGAATGCAGGGTCTGAGGAGACCAGATACAGTGAATGCAGGGTCCGGGGAGACCGGATATAGTGAATGCAGGGTCCGGGGAGAGCAGATATAGTGAATGCAGGGTCCGGGGAGACCAGATATAGTGAATGCCGGGTCCGGGGAGACTAGATATAGTGAATGCGGGGTCCGGGGGAGAGCGGATATAGTGAATGCAGGGTCAGGGGAGACCAGATATAGTGAATGCAGGGTCCGGGGAGAGCGGATATAGTGAATGCAGGGTCCGGGGAGAGCGGATATAGTGAATGCAGGGTCCGGGAGAGCGGATATAGTGAATGCAGGGTCCGGGGAGAGCGGATATAGTGAATGCAGGGTCCGGGGAGAGCGGATATAGTGAATGCAGGGTCCGGGGAGAGTGGATATAGTGAATGCAGGGTCCGGGGAGAGCATATATAGTGAATGCAGGGTCCGGGGAGAGTGGATATAGTGAATGCAGGGTCCGGGGAGAGCATATATAGTGAATGCAGGGTCCGGGGTTTAGTAACACTTTAACTCCAAGAAATCCAAGTAACTTTGATTTAAAGTAGATGTAAACCCTGACTTAAAACTTCCATAGTAAGCCGGCACCAGGTAAATCCATCAAATGAAAAGTCTTTATTGGCTAGATATAAGTAATTTCACAAGTACACTAACGCATTTTGGCTGTAACAGTTACAGCCGAAACGCGTTGGGTAGATTGTGATGTGACTTATATGTAGCCAATAAAGACTTTTCGTTTGATTTATCGTGTACCGACCGATCTCTACTATGGAACTTCTGCTCGAGTGGGAACACTTTGCATTGAGCACAGGTCTTCAGCCATGAGGACTGAGAGCCGGTGGTTAATATTGGGTATTGTTTATCTCTAAAGCGGAACTCCATGCAGAATGTGCAGTCCCGCTGGAACTCTCCCTCCCCCCCAGCCGGTAACTGAGTGAGCTGGTACTGATTTTTATCAGTATCTGCTCCCTTTTCCCCAATCCTCACCAAGGCAAGCATGGTGTCCCTTTCCCCCGTTCCCTTTCCCTCTTGCAGCCGCCTGGGTCACGTCCTCACTTCTGATACATTTCACCCCAAAGGGCTTATTCATTTGGGATCAAGAACAAATAACTGCGCTAGAATATAAAATGACAAAATGATCAAACAAAAAGCAGCTGACAAATAAAGGCAATATTGTAAAATGTAAACAAAAAGAATGCAGCGCTAATTAAAAAATAATTATTAAATTATAATGTCCAAATTAAAGTCCATATAAATCCTCAAAAAAAAAAAAAAAAACGAAATAAAGAAAATATCTTGATCTCATATACCGTCATCATACATCCGGAAAAATTGGCCCCTCACCGGACACTTTGATCTTTTAAAACTTTGCAAATCTCAAAGAATCTCCCATCCGGCAATCAGGGAAGGGATAAAGAACAATGAGAATTCATAGTGCAGTAATCAATATACACTTTGGCCAATTGATTAAAAAGATCCACGTACATCAAATCTTAAGATAACCAGCATTGAATGAACAAAAGTTTCAAACCAAGAAAATGGCCGCCGTCCCTCCAGAACACGGTGACGTCACACGCCGAAGCCCCCCAGCGCGTTTCGTCATCAGGAAGACGTCGTCAGGGGCACTGCACATACCGACCGCTGTTATAACGAAATAAAGAATACATCTTGATCTCATGTACCGTCACCATACACCCAGAAAAAATGACCCCTCACCGGACACTTTGACCTTTAAAACTGTGCAAACCTCAAAGAATCTTCCATCCGGCTTCCAGAGAAGGGATAAAGAACAACGAGAACTCACAGTGCAGTAATCAATATACACTTTGGCCAATTGATTAAAAAGATCCACGTACATCAAATCTTAAGATAACCAGCATTGAATGAACAAAAGTTTCAAACCAAGAAAATGGCCGCCGTCCCTCCAGAACGTGGTGACGTCACACGCCCAAGCTCCCCCCTACGCGTTTTGTCATTAGGAAGATGTCGTCAGAGGCACTGCGCATACCGACCTCTTGTGTAACGAAATAAAGAATAAATCTTGATCTCATATACCGTCACCATACACCCAGAAAAAATGGCCCCTCACCAGACACTTTGAACGTATAACAGCGGCTGGTATGCGCAGTATATTGAGGAATCAGTATGACGAACCATTTCCAGCGGATATCCTCTCCCAATTACAGGATAATGACTCCGCTCTGAAAGATCCCCAACGCTGATCAGTAAGCGCAATGTGATAGAGAATCAGGATGGCAGGTAATCCACAATAGAAATCCTCTTGCAGATACGAGATGAATTATCCTCTTTATTATTTATTTCAGGTACTTATATAGCGCCTTGTGTACATATATATTGTACGTTCACATCAGTCCCTAACCCTCAAGGGGCGTACAATCTAAGGTCCCTAACCCTCAAGGGGCGTACAATCTAAGGTCCCTAACCCTCAAGGGGCGTACAATCTAAGGACCTTAACCCTCAAGGGGTGTACAATCTAAGGACCTTAACCCTCAAGGGGCGTACAATCTAAGGTCCCTAACCCTCAAGGGGCGTACAATCTAAGGTCCCTAACCCTCAAGGGACGTACAATCTAAGGTCCCTGACCCTCAAGGGGCGTACAATCTAAGGTCCCCAACCCTCAAGGGGCGTACAATCTAAGGTCCCTAACCCTCAAGGGACGTACAATCTAAGGTCCCTAACCCTCAAGGGGTGTACAATCTAAGGTCCCTAACCCTCAAGGGGCGTACAATCTAAGGTCCCTAACCCTCAAGGGGTGTACAATCTAAGGTCCCTAACCCTCAAGGGGCGTACAATCTAAGGTCCCTAACCCTCAAGGGGCGTACAATCTAAGGTCCCTAACCCTCAAGGGGCGTACAATCTAAGGTCCCTAACCCTCAAGGGGCGTACAATCTAAGGTCCCTAACTCACATTCATACATACACATACTAGGGACAATTTAGACAGGAGCCAATTAACCTACCAGCCTGTCTTTGGAGTGTGGGAGGAAACCCACGCAGGCACAGGGAGAACATGCAAACTCCAGGCAGGTGGTGCCGTGGTTGGGATTCGAACCAACGACCCGAGTACTACCAGGCGGAACTGCTAACCATTTAGCCGCTGTGCTGCCCACTTTAAAACTTTGCAAACTGCAAAGAATCTCCCATCCGGCATTCAGAGAAGGGATAAAGAACAAAGATAACTCACAGTGCAGTAATCAATATAAACATTGGCCAATTTATTGAAAAGGTCCACATACATCAAATCTTAACCCCTTCCAGTCCAGACACTTTCACCCCCTTCCAGTCCGGACACTTCCCCCCCCCCTTCCAGTCCGGACACTTTCACCCCCCTTCCAGTCCGGACACTTCCCCCCCCCCCCCCTTCCAGTCCGGACACTTTCACCCCCTTCCAGTCCGGACACTTTCCCCCCCTTCCAGTCCGGACACTTTCCCCCCCTTCCAGTCCGGACACTTTCACCCCCTTCCAGTCCAGACACTTCCCCCCCCCTTCCAGTCCGGACACTTTCCCCCCCTTCCAGTCCGGACACTTTCACCCCCTTCCAGTCCGGACGCTTTCCCCCCCTTCCAGTCCGGACACTTTCCCCCCCCCCTTCCAGTCCGGACACTTTCACCCCCCTTCCAGTCCGGACACTTTCCCCCCTTTCCAGTCCGGACACTTTCCCCCCCCTTCCAGTCCGGACACTTTCCCCCCCTTCCAGTCCGACACTTTCCCCCCCTTCCAGTCCGGACACTTTCCCCCCCTTCCAGTCCGGACACTTTCACCCCCTTCCAGTCCAGACACTTCCCCCCCCTTCCAGTCCGGACACTTTCCCCCCCTTCCAGTCCGGACACTTTCCCCCCCTTCCAGTCCGGACACTTTCACCCCCTTCCAGTCCAGACACTTCCCCCCCCCCTTCCAGTCCGGACACTTTCCCCCCCTTCCAGTCCGGACACTTTCACCCCCTTCCAGTCCGGACGCTTTCCCCCCCTTCCAGTCCGGACACTTTCCCCCCCCCCCCTTCCAGTCCGGACACTTTCACCCCCCTTCCAGTCCGGACACTTTCCCCCCCCTTTCCAGTCTGAACACTTTCCCCCCCCTTCCAGTCCGGACACTTTCCCCCCCTTCCAGTCCGGACACTTTCCCCCCCTTCCAGTCCGGACACTTCCCCCCCCTTCCAGTCCGGACACTTTCACCCCCTTCCAGTCCGGACACTTTCCCCCCCCTTCCAGTCCGGACACTTTCCCCCCCTTCCAGCCGGACGCTTTCACCCCCTTCCAGTCCGGACGCTTTCCCCCCCTTCCAGTCCGGACGCTTTCCCCCCCCCCTTCCAGTCCGGACACTTTCACCCCCCCCTTCCAGTCCGGACACTTTCCCCCCCCCCCTTCCAGTCCGGACACTTTCCCCCCCCCCTTCCAGTCCGGACACTTTCCCCCCCTTCCAGTCCGGACACTTTCCCCCCCTTCCAGTCCGGACACTTCCCCCCCCTTCCAGTCCGGACACTTTCCCCCCCTTCCAGTCCGGACACTTTCCCCCCATTCCAGTCCGGACACTTTCCCCCCCTTCCAGTCCGGACACTTTCCCCCCCTTCCAGTCCGGACACTTCCCCCCCCTTCCAGTCCGGACACTTTCACCCCCTTCCAGTCCGGACACTTTCACCCCCTTCCAGTCCGGACACTTTTTCACCCCTTTTCAGCTTTCAGCGCTATCACACTGTGAATGACAATTGCGCGGTCATGCAACACTGTACCCATATGAATTTTTTAGCATTTTTTTTTAAACAGATAAAACTTTATTTTGGTAGTATTTATTCACAGCTGGGATTTTTATTTTTTTTTTTGCTATATAAATGAAAAAAGTCCAAAAATTTTGAAAAAAAGTGTTTTTTTTATAAAATTTTGAAAATAATCTTTCTTCATAAATCTTGGCCAAAATTTATTCAGTTACCTTTTTAGTAAAAAAAAAAATAACCCCAAATTAGTTTATAACCAAAAATTATAATTTTTGAAAAACAATTTGTTTACATTTTTATTTTATTTTTTTAGATTATTATTTATGTTTTTTTAACATACTGTCACCCTAGCAGTACAGGGTCACCATGGCAACACTGTACTACTTGTGGGGGGTGATGAAGATTTTTTTTATTTTTTTTTTTTTTACACTGCTTGCTTTTACACCCATAAAGGCTGTAAAAGCAATCATTTCTCCGTCTCTCTGGTTGCATTCTTGCAGCCATTGAGAAATACTGTGTGAGCTGTGATTGGTCACAGCTTGTCACATGGTACAAGACTGTTGTGAATAGCCCTGTACCATGTGATCTCTGTGATCATTCACACAGAAGTGACATCTTGCTTCCACCTATTCATGTGATCACTGATTGGTCAATCAGTGATCACATTTTCGGGACCTCAGACAGAGGTCCCATACAGCGATCGTTGTTCCACTTTGTCCTGAGGACACAGCGGGCACCGAATCGCGGTGCCGCACGCTCCCAGGTAACGCGCACAATCCAAAATGGCGGGCACTGTTTATGAACAGCAACCCGCCCCTGCACTGCCACCGTCTGAACGGACGGGAAGTGGTTAAGATAACCAGCATTGAATGAACAAAAATTTAAAACCAAGAAAATGGCCGCAATCCCTCCAGAAAGCAGTGACGTCATGCACTGAAGCCCCCCCCCAACGCGTTTCATCATCAGTAAGACGTCGTCAGGGGCACTGCGCATACCGCTGTTATACGGTCAAAGTGTCTGGTAAGGGGCCATTTTTTTCGGTGTTTGGAGACGGTGTATGAGATCAAGATTTTTTCTTTATTTCGTTATTATTTTTGAGGATTTATATGGACTTTAATTTGGACATTAATATTTAATAATTAATTTTTAATTAGCGCTGCACTCTTTTGGTTTACATTATTCATAGGGATCCCTAAGTAGTGATCGTTCACGGAGTGAGGTCCCTGTGGTGCCGTGTACTTTCAAGCGCAATAAAGCCATTTATATGCTGAAAGACAGAGTGCAATGCCGGGTTGGAATTTTTCAGCTGGTTGCCTGTTGTTCTCCCACAACAAAGGTGGCACCTGGTGCATCCGTTGTGCATATAGGGATGCGTTCCTTTAGGAAATTTTAAACGCCACTTTAGATTAATGGATGCAAGTTCTGCTATTTAGCCGTGACAAATGGTTTTCACAAGGAAATCGAGCTGATTAAAGATTGAGATTAAAGGAATGGAAAGGAAATGGTAAAGAATCATCTGGAAAAGGAAGTGAGAATCGAAGATGTTTGTTCAGTATTTGGCAAAATGTGTTTTTGTTGCTGGGATGACCACAGACTGTAATGCTCTTCACATGCCAGCTTATTGTTAGAAAAACAGAAGGAAGACATGTGTTTGTAGATCTGAGGGTGACACATTGTGAAACAGCCAAGTGCTGCTCTGAAAACTTCCCATTCAGCAGAAGTATGACCTTTAATACCCCCCACCCCACCCAATCCAGAATAAAGCCCAACTCTAGATGGAATACCACCCCCTATCCTTAGCTCCATAACACAGGGGGAGGTGTTTTGTAGTCCACAGAAAACAACTGTGTGTGGGGTTAGGAGCAGGGGCGGACTGACAACTTGTGGGGCCCCCAGGCAATAGGGGACCATGGGGCCCCTTTGTCCTTGCTCAAAAAAGCCTATGAAAAAGGTACCAGGGGCATCTCATGGGGCCCCCTACTGACCCCGGGCCCTCGGGCAGTGCCCGTGCTTCCAAATGGTCAGTCCGCCCCTGTTAAGGAGTGCTCAGTATAGCGTTCATCTGGCTTGGTGATTCATTTTAAATATTTTTTGCATCAAATACCACCAACGCGTTTCAGGGGAAAGACCTCCTTCTTACGGGGTTGATTCAATAGTTTGTGATTGAATCTGGGATTTAGCTGGCTGCTCTCTTTGCTGATTGGATACATTGAGGATTCAGGCCCTATTGTAACCTTTATCCGGGCTTCATAGTGAACTCTATGCAGATTCAATTATAGATTGTTGGCTCAAGCCGTGAAGAAGGAAAAGGCATTCCCCGAAACGAGTATCTCATGGTCTTACGTTTGTACTAGGTATGCCCCACCGCAAGGCCATTGTGGAAGCCCAACCACCACCCAAGGCCACCCAATCACCACATCAGGTCACCATTGAAGGCCAACCACCACCTCAGGCCACCAAGCCACAACCTAAGGTCACCATGGAAGTCCAACCACCACCTCAGGCCACCCAACCGCCACCCCAGGTTACCATGGAAACCCAAAATACCACTTCAGGCCACCCAACTACGACCTTAGGTCACCATGGAAGCCCAACCACTACCTCAGGCCCCCCAACCACCACCTCAGGTCACCATTGAAGCCCAACCACTACCTCAGGCCCCCCAACCACCTCCTTAGGTCACCATTGAAGCCCAACCACCACCTCGGGCCACCAAGCCACAACCTCAGGTCACCATGGAAGTCCAACCACCACCTCAAGCCACCCAACCACCACCCCAGGTCACCATGGAAACCCAAATACCACTTCAGGCCACCCAACTACCACCTTAGGTCACCATGGAAGCCCAACCACTACCTCAGGCCCGCCAACCACCACCTCAGGTCACCATTGAAGCCCAACCACCACCTCAGGCCCCCCAGCCACCACCTCAGGTCACCATTAAAGCCCAACCACCACCTCAGGCCATTGTAGAAGCCCAACCACCACCCCAGGCCACCCAAGCACAACATCAGGTCACCATGGAAACCCAGCCACCTCCTCAGGCCACCCAACCACCACCTCAGGTCACCTTGGAAGCCCAGCCACCACTTCAGGCCATTGTGGAAGCTCAACCACCAACCCAGGCCACCCAACCACCACATCTGGTCACGTTAAACCAACCACCTCCTCAGGCCACCCATCCAACACCTCATGTAACCATGGACACCCCACCAACACCTCAACGAACCATGGAGGCCTTTGTGCACCATTTGGGCATTGGTGCCCACTTTTGTTACCATAGTCAACAAATGTTTAAAAATCTACAGTAACTTTCCAAATATAATCAATAAAACAAATTCTCATTCCCATCAGTCCAGCGCTCCCACACATCTAGCAGTCAGAAGAGAACCAGGCAGGGCTGATAACACAGCGTGAGATTTCAGTGTAGTGCAGGCAGAGAGCGCAGGAGGGGTGGAGGTCACGATTTCAGGCAGGATCAACACTTTCCTTTTTGCACTTGTTGGAAATATATAACACAACCAACAGATCAAAGGGGAACTAATAAAAGAGAAGATCATTGTTAGGTTTACATACATCTTATATTCACAGTTGCTTGTGTGACCCTTTGGAACATGGTACCCAATGCTTTTATGTCATCAATGAAAACTCTGGACCTACATGACTCATGCATTGAATCCCAGGAGATGTGAGGGTTTTCAATAGAGATTCTATGTGATTGTCTTCCCTAGTGCTCTTCCCTGTATGAGGACCGCTACATTCTGCCCACGCAGAACTTCAACTCCCATCTGAGGATCCCAGTGCCTGAGACCCACCCGCTGCTGTCCCCCGACTGGAGGGTGAGTCCAGATATAACCTCATTACCAATCATTCTTTGTCTGCATGTAATGCACAAGCAACAGGTTCACTTAAAGGGGATCTCCACCCACATTTTTAAAAATGTATATTATCTTGCTCCTCCCTTTCCTTTTCTGCAATCTGCAACAAAAAATAATGTATTTTTTGGAGGTGCCTGTTCCTGAGGAGTACAGCCCTTGTTTCTCTTTTTGCTTGCTTTCTCGCCTAGGCAGGAATGACTCCCCCCCCCCTTTGTCTGAAACCCCCTGGTATACCCATTGTTCTGCCCCACTTACATGTATTTATATTGAACTGCATAAGGTTATGTAGTATACAAGGGCGGACTGACAACTCATGGGGCCCCCGGGCAATAGGGGATCATGGGGCCCTGTGTCCTTGCTCAAAAAAGCCTATGAAAAAGGTACCAGGGACATCTCATGGGGCCCCCTACTGACCCCAGGCCCTCAGGCAGTGCCCGAGTTTCCAAATGGTCAGTCCGCCCCTGGTAGTATACCGACATTTAGTGGAAGTTTTTGGCCATGTTTACCTATGTGATTTGGTATCTCCCTTAGTTCTCCTTTATTGTTTAGTGCTAGTTAGTTCAGTCTCAGCTAGACCCACCCTGTTTCTTCTATGTTCCCTGAGTCAGTGTTCAAACTTCATAGAGAAAAAGCTTAGGAAAGTTATTGTCTTCAAACACTTCAAAAGACTGGAAAACCATCCTCTGCGGTGAAATTAGCTGAAGAAAAATTGTGTTGGATTTTACATCTGTATCTTATTTATTTATTTATCGAGTTTATATAGCGCCAAAGGGTTTGCTCAGCGCTGTACAATAGAGGGGGGGACAATACATGAAACAGTACAGTAACATCAAACAGCACACAAGGGGTAAGAGTTATTGAAGAGTTAAGCTGTCTGTGGATGGTGCCGAATTAGCAGGTGACCATACTGTGTGGACAGACTGGGTAGGAGGTATATCAATGCACAAAGCTGCATTTGAAACACGACCACTATGTGACGCATCCCGTGGTGCTGTGTAGAATCCACCGCGCATGCGCAGTGTGATGTCATCAAGAAGCCTAGGACCTGTAAGAGACAGCAGGCCTCCTAATGGTGTCACAAGCTAGATGGCCAGCATGTGGCGTATCTCAGCAGCACAGGGCCAGATGAGTATGCAAATTCGGCTCAACCCAGCAAATCAGGTAAGAAGGGTTAATATTAAAATTAACCACAGGGGGAGGAATGAAGTTCCCGGGTGGAGGAGTGAAGTTCCATTCCTCCCCCCCTCCCTAGCTTCCAGCTGCACATACTCAGCCAAGATGAGAAATTCCCTGTTCTGCCAGGTATAGGGGGCATGTGACTCTTGGCCTCCCCCCCCTTCCCCCCCCATGCCTGATGACTGGCAGATGGGGGCAGAGATTGAGTCTTCATGTACGCTCTGAATTACAAATCATAATTATTTCTTCAAGAAAAGTTGCTGAATTTTCAGTCTAAAAATGCTGATTGCCCGGCCCTCATTCTCATCCTCTGTCTTCAATTTTCTCAGGGATTGACCTGAGCTTTTGGTTAATTATTCCTGGATTTCGATGCTCATACTTGCTCCAGGTCAGAGATGCAATGTACTGAAGTCAGACACAGCCACGGAACTAGCATTGCAAAAGTAGCTGTTGGGTATCTGTCCTTGTTATTGATCTCAGGCTTCCTATAAATCTTTTTCCAGAACATGGAGCATGAAACCCTACCCTGCATAGCTGCCTCCGCTACCGCCCTCCCCCCCCCCCCATCCCCAGGAGAATGGTGATTTGTCTCTTCCCAAACTTTATTTTCAAATCCTTCCAGAAAAAGAGGGGTTTTCAACCTTCAGATGATTTCATTATCTGCTACTTTCTCTTTCCGTTTCCAGATATGAGTTTGTTCTGCTCAGGATAGGTTGAGGACAAGTTACAGTCAAGTCCTTAGAACTGAAAGACTTTTTATGTTTACACCTTTTCTTGTTTCATATCTATTACTGTTTAATACAAACAATGATTTATTATCTAAATTGACATTAAACGCAAGATGAAGGATCCCCAGAGCCAGTGGTGTCCCTAGGGGGATGCGGGGGGTGCGGGCCGCACTGGGTGACACCATCACAGGGGGTGCAGGAGCAGGATGCTGGCACAGTGACAGCTGCCCCTGTACCGTTGTAGCAGTAAATTGAGTATCCCCTGAAGATATGTATCCCCTGAAGCAACTGCGCATGTGCCGGTTTCAGGCCGAAGAAGCCAATCGCCGGCTCTGTGCTAAAGTCGGAGATCGGCTTCTTCGGCCTGAAATCGGCACATGCGCAGTTGCTTCAGGGGATACATATCTTCAAGGGATACTCATTTTACACCGGCACCGCTCCTTCCTCTCTGGAGGGGTGACACCACGTGTTACTGCGTCAGGTGACACCAACCCTAGGGACACCTCTGCTCAGAGCACAGGGGGTAACTTAATGAGACATCACAGAGGTAGCTGTCTGCCTTGATGCTAGTTTGTAGGGCTGAAAGTAGCCGGCCCACATGGGAGAAGCCACTTTATTCACTTACATCTTGATCTATTGAGGTCTGTAAATAGCTACAAAGGAGCTAATGACCAGCACAGTGGCTAAATGGTTAGCACCTCCACCTGGCAGCACTATCGTCGTTGGTTCAAATCCCAAGAACGACATTAGTTGCCTGGAGTTTGCATGTTCTCCCTGTGCCTTTGTGGGTTTCCTCCAGGTACTCCGGTTTCATCCCATACTCCAAAGACAGGCTGGTAGGTGAATTGGCTCACCTATAATATGCCAGCGTGTGATTTCACTTCCAAAAGTCTTTTTCAAGGTTGTCACCTCCTCATAGATGCAGGTTGGGAGTCGTGTTGAGGATATCTCACCAGTGGAAACTCATATGTATATAATACACCAGCGTGTGATTCCACTTCCAAAAGTCCTTCCCAAGGTTGTCACCTCCTAGATGCGGGTTGGGAGTCATGTTGAGGATATCTCACCAGTGGAGACTCATATATGTGTATAATACTCCAGTGTGTGATTCCACTTCCAAAAGTCCTTCCCAAGGTTGTCACCTCCTCCTAGATGCGGGTTGGGAGTCGTGTTGAGGATATCTCATCAGTGGAGACTCATATATGTATATAATACGCCAGCATTTGATTCCACTTCCAAAAGTCCTTTGCAAGGTTGTCACCACCTCCTAGATGCAGGTTGGGAGTCGTGTTGAGGATATCTCATCAGTGGAGACTCATATATGTATATAATATGCCAGTGTGTGATTCCACTTCCAAAAGTCCTTCCCAAGGTTGTCACCTTGGGAGTCGTAGATGCAGTGGAGACTTATATGTATATAATACGGCGTGTGATTCCACTTCCAAAAGTGCTTCCCAAGGTTGTCACTTCCTAGTGTGGGTTGGGAGTCGTGTTGAGGATATCTCACCAGTGGAGATCATATATGTATATAATACGCCAGCGTGTGATTCCACTTCCAAAAGTGCTTCCCAAGGTTGTCACTTCCTAGATGTGGGTTGGTGGAGTCGTGTTGAGCCAGATTGATCTCACTTCAAAAGTGGTTGACTCATATATGGAGACTCATATATAATAATACGCCAGCGTGTGATTCCACTTCCAAAAGTCCTTCACAAGGTTGTCACCTCCTCCTAGATGCGGTTGGGAGTCGTGTTGAGGATATCTCACCAGTGGAGACTCATATATGTATATAATACGCCAGCGTTTTATTTCACTTCCAAAAGTCCTTCACAAGGTTGTCACCTCCTAGATGCAGGTTGGGAGTCGTGTCACTCATCAGTGGAGACCTCCGCCAGCGTTTGATTCCACTTCCAAAAGTCCTTCACAAGGTTGTCACCTCCTCCTAGATGGGGTTGGGAGTCGTGTTGATATCTCACCAGTGGAGACTCATATATGTATATAATACGCCAGCGTTTGATTCCACTTCCAAAAGTCCTTCACAAGGTTGTCACCTCCTCCTAGATGCGGGTTGGGAGTCGTGTTGATATCTCACCAGTGGAGACTCATATATGTATATAATACGCCAGCGTTTGATTCCACTTCCAAAAGTTCTTCACAAGGTTGTCACCTCCTCCTAGATGCGGGTTGGGAGTCGTGTTGATATCTCACCAGTGGAGACTCATATATGTATATAATACGCCAGCGTTTGATTCCACTTCCAAAAGTCCTTCCCAAGGTTGTCACCTCCTCCTAGATGCAGGTTGGGAGTCGTGTTGAGGATATCTCACCAGTGGAGACTCATATATGTATATAATACGCCAGCGTGGGATTCCACTTCCAAAAGTCCTTCACAAGGTTGTCACCTCCTCCTAGATGTGGGTTGGGAGTCGTGTTGATATCTCACCAGTGGAGACTCATATGTATATAATACACCAGCGTGTTTTTTCACTTCCAAAACTCCTTCCCAAGGTTATCACCTCCTAGATGCAGGTTGGGAGTCGTGTTGATATCTCACCAGTGGAGACTCATATATGTATATAATACGCCAGCGTGTGATTCCACTTCCAAAAGTCCTTCACAAGGTTGTCACCTCCTCCTAGATGCAGGTTGGGAGTCGTGTTGAGGATATCTCACCAGTGGAGACTCATATATGTATATAATATGCCAGCGTGTGATTCCACTTCCCAGCAAAAACACAAAACCAAATATCAGTTTTGGGTGAAGCTAGCCTTACCATGTCTGGGCATTCTGATTATCTGTACATCCTCAGCCCTCGAAAACTGAAGGCTTACCTAAATTATGAAACTCCCCTATGGGTTCCTCCACCCTTAGTGCACTGAGCTGCAAGGGGGATGGGAGTCAACTCAGGTCAAAGCAGTCTCAATGCAAGGACACAATATGGATACCAGTGTACCCAGTTCACACCAAAGGATTGCATTGGGAAAAAATGTAGACATGACAATTTTTTTTGTAGCACTCTAAAATGCTCGACAATGTGTCTGGAGAGAACAAAACACTACTAACAAAACGCAATAACCGCGCATGCACTTTTCTGCGGGTTGTGGTGTGAAGGAGCCCCTAATGTAATTTGGATGTCCAGGAGCTGTGGAGATTTGGTGTCCACCAACAGCTGAAATATGAGCCGCCTTAAGCCCGGCTCGGAATTAAAAGTTAACGAAGAGCTCCCGGTGTTTAGACGATGCTGATTAGTGATGACAATCTCTCCTTCCTGCATGTCTCCAGGTTCTCAGCAAACCCATCAACAGAGAAAGGGACTTCTGAGAACAGGAAAATCACTTGGCCATTTTTATTGGCTGGAACCCTTAAAGTGACACTAAATTTTGGTTTAAAAAGAAAAATTTGATTCCAGTTTGTGATGTTGACTCAGAAAAGTCTCTTCTGCTGTTCCCAGCCTCCTCCAAATCTCCAAATTCCATTTTATTTTTTTGCTGCTGTGATTTGACTTCCTGTTAGAGGGTGGCTACGTTTGTTCTCTGTGGTCCCGCTGTATGTAGGAACGTAGTCACCCTCTCTTTCACACGTCTGAGGTTAGAGGGTGGCTACGTTTGTTCTCTGTGGTCCCGCTGTATGTAGGAACGTAGTCACCCTCTCTTGCACACGTCTGAGGTTAGAGGGTGGCTACGTTTGTTCTCTGTGGTCCCGCTGTATGTAGGAACGTAGTCACCCTCTCTTGCTCACTTCTGAGGTTAGAGGGTGGCTACGTTTGTTCTCTGTGGTCCCGCTGTATGTAGGAACGTAGTCACCCTCTCTTTCACACGTCTGAGGTTAGAGGGTGGCTACGTTTATTCTCTGTGGTCCCGCTGTATGTAGGAACGTAGTCACCCTCTCTTTCACACGTCTGAGGTTAGAGGGTGGCTACGTTTGTTCTCTGTGGTCCCGCTGTATGTAGGAACGTAGTCACCCTCTCTTTCACAGTCTGAAGTTAGAGGGTGGCTACGTTTATTCTCTGTGGTCCCGCTGTATGTAGGAACGTAGTCACCCTCTCTTGCACACGTCTGAGGTTAGAGGGTGGCTACGTTTATTCTCTGTGGTCCCGCTGTATGTAGGAACGTAGTCACCCTCTCTTGCACACTTCTGAGGTTAGAGGGTGGCTACGTTTATTCTCTGTGGTCCCGCTGTATGTAGGAACGTAGTCACCCTCTCTTTCACACGTCTGATGTTAGAGGGTGGCTACGTTTGCTCTCTGTGGTCCCGCTGTATGTAGGAACGTAGTCACCCTCTCTTTCACACGTCTGATGTTAGAGGGTGGCTACGTTTGTTCTCTGTGGTCCCGCTGTATGTAGGAACGTAGTCACCCTCTCTTGCTCACTTCTGAGGTTAGAGGGTGGCTACGTTTGTTCTCTGTGGTCCCGCTGTATGTAGGAACGTAGTCACCCTCTCTTGCACACTTCTGAGGTTAGAGGGTGGCTACGTTGGTTCTCTGTGGTCCCTCTGTATGTAGGAACGTAGTCACCCTCTCTTGCACACTTCTGAGGTTAGAGGGTGGCTACGTTGGTTCTCTGTGGTCCCTCTGTATGTAGGAACGTAGTCACCCTCTCTTGCACACTTCTGAGGTTAGAGGGTGGCTACGTTTGTTCTCTGTGGTCCCGCTGTATGTAGGAACGTAGTCACCCTCTCTTTCACACGTCTGAGGTTAGAGGGTGGCTACGTTTGTTCTCTGTGGTCCCGCTGTATGTAGGAACGTAGTCACCCTCTCTTTCACACGTCTGAGGTTAGAGGGTGGCTACGTTTGTTCTCTGTGGTCCCGCTGTATGTAGGAACGTAGTCACCCTCTCTTGCACACGTCTGAGGTTAGAGGGTGGCTACGTTTGTTCTCTGTGGTCCCGCTGTATGTAGGAACATAGTCACCCTCTCTTTCACACGTCTGAGGTTAGAGGGTGGCTACGTTTGTTCTCTGTGGTCCCGCTGTATGTAGGAACGTAGTCACCCTCTCTTTCACACGTCTGAGGTTAGAGGGTGGCTACGTTTGTTCTCTGTGGTCCCGCTGTATGTAGGAACGTAGTCACCCTCTCTTGCACACGCCTGAAGTTAGAGGGTGGCTACGTTGGTTCTCTGTGGTCCCGCTGTATGTAGGAACGTAGTCACCCTCTCTTGCACACTTCTGAGGTTAGAGGGTGGCTACGTTTGTTCTCTGTGGTCCCGCTGTATGTAGGAATGTAGTCACCCTCTCTTGCTCACTTCTGAGGTGGACTATGGAATTTGTAGTGTATATTTATACCAAAAAGAGACAGGAAAATGGGGACTTTTGAGGCACAACAGAAGCATAAAAACATGATTCATTTGTAGTGCACATGACTGCAACCAGGGCCGGGACAAGGGGGGGGTTATTGACCTGCCCTGGTCACTGTATTGAGGGGCCTGCCAAGTTGGCCGCTCGTCCCGCTCCTTACTGACAGGAGTGACTGCAGTGTCACTCCTGTCAGAAGGAGCAGCGGCTGATGGCTGCCCCTGAAGGGAGGATTCGGCTTTCTCCTCCCACCAGCCTGCATGGGGAAGAAAAGAGCCGGTACTGAGACAGAGAACTGTCCTCAGTGCCATGTTGAGAGGGCAGAATGTGTCCTTCTTTCTCTTCCCCTATCATGTGACATGTTACATGAATGAAGAGAGAAAGGAGACATTGTTTTTCATTCCAGTGAGTACTGATCTGGAAGCATGGGGACACCTGATGTAAAGGGGGACTCTATTGTGTGGTGTGCAATTCAGTGCAGCACATGATGCCCCACTTTGTTTTTGGTACAAACTTTATTTGAAGTGTACAAATTGTACACTTCATTCAAGGCAGTGTAGCATTTTAGCGCAGAAACAATTTGGAAGCATGGGGACACCTGATGCAAACGGGGACTCTATTGTGTGGTGTGCAATTTACTGCATCACATGACTCCCCACTTTTTTATCTAAACTTTATTTGAAGTGTACAAATTGTACACTTCATTCAAGGCAGTGTAGGATTTTAGCGCAGCAACAATTTGGAAGCATGGGGACACCTGATGTAAAGGGGGACTCTATTGTGTGGTGTGCAATTCAGTGCATCACATGACGCCCCACTTTTTTTTTGGTACAAACTTTATTTGAAGTGTACAATTTGTACACTTCATTCAAGGCAGTGTAGGATTTTAGCGCAGCAAGCTTCAGCGCAATCCTAGGCTGCATTGCAATGTGAATGGGACACATAGGAAACAATTATTTCCTGGGCGCCGCTGCAGTGACAGATGTTTTAGTATGTGGATCTGTCATCACGTCTCAATTCAGCCTAATAGATAAATGATTTAAAAAACAAAAACGGCATCACAACGGGAAATCGTTTTGGTTAAAAATCCGCTGGAAGGCGGAGCATTCTAACATCAGATCTCTGCGGTCTTTTTTTTTTTTTTTGATGCGTTGCTTTTTTTTTCGTCGCAGGTCCCGGAAAGCTGTCGATCAAACATGGAGGAGGGGATCGTCACGCTGTCAACGCTCCTGAACAATCGCCATTTCTTGGTCACCTTTATTCACGCGGTGGAGCTGCAGAAGGACTTCGCCGTGAGGGACAGGTGAGGAGACTGACAGCTTCATAAAGAAATACAAAGTATTTTTTTTTTTTACGGTATAAAATGTATTAAAAATTTCCAACATTACAATAAAACAGAATACAGGAGATATATAAAAGATTCAGCCCGGGTTCACACTCTGCGGTGCGGGACACCGCATGTAATTCGCACAGGAATCGCACCACATTCCTGTGCGAATTACATGCAGATGTGTGTGTGGTGAGATTTGAGCGTACATTTTGTATGGCTCAAATCGCATCGCATCCACACCAAAAAGGTCCCTTTTTAAAATCCGCACCTGAACTACATCGCATGGGTGTCCTCACAATTTCTGGCAGTCACATCGCATTTTGCGATCTATTTAACCACTTCCCGTCCATCAGTTGTATATAAACGGTGGCAGTGCAGGGTCGGGTGGCTGTTTATAAACGTCCTTCCCGCCCCCTGCTTGTGCGCGCTCCCTAGGAGCGTGCAGCACTGCGATCCGGTGCCCGCTGTGTTCTCTGGACACAGTGGAACACCGATCACTGTGCGGGACCTCTGTGTGAGGTCCCGATCATGTGACCACTGATTGGCCAATCAGTGATCACATGAAGAGTAGTAAGCAAAGATGTCACTTCTGACATCCTTGCTTACTACTTGTGAAATCTGTGAATGATCACAGAGGTCACATGGTACAGGGCTATTCACAACAGCCTTATACCATGTGACAAGCTGTGACCAATCAGAGCTCACACAGTATTTCTCAATGGCTGCAAGAATGCTGCCAGAGAAAAGGAGAAATTATTGCTTTTATAGCCTGTATGGGTGTAAAAGCAATCAGTGTAAAAAAAAAATCTTCATCACCCCCCAACAAGTAGTACAGTGTCACCAGTGACACTGTACTGCTAGGGTGACAGTATGTAAAAAAAAAAAAAAAAAAACATAATAATATAAAAAATGTAAAAAAAAATTATAAAAAATTATAATTTTTGGTTATAAACTAATTTGGGGCTGCCAATCTCGTGTGCCTTGTGCTGTATTATTGTGCTGTATCACTTTGATGACCGCCTTACAATGTGTCCCCTATGCTCAGGTGTAACTTGGCCTCTCTGCTCACCATCGCCCTTCATGGCAAGTTGGAGTACTACACCAGCATCATGAAAGATCTCCTGGTGGACCTCATAGACTCATCAGCCTCCAAGAACCCCAAGCTGATGCTTCGCCGGACCGAGTCGGTGGTGGAGAAAATGCTGACCAACTGGATGTCCATCTGCATGTACAGCTGCCTCCGGGTAGGGTGCTCAGAACGCTCTTCTCCATGTGGAAACATTGAACGTTACCGACTGGCTGGGCTTTTATTCAGTGGGAACGCGGGGGAACACCTCCGGCACTCAATGCATGTAATGATGAGGGGTGGTGGGGTGTGCTGGAAGGTCAATTGTTGCTGGCAGCTGGGGGATATATTTTTGTGGGGAGGGGATCTATTGTTGCTGGGGAGGTCTGTTGTTGCCGGTGGGAGGGGGGGCTGTTGTTGCTGGGGGAGTCTTATATTGCTGGGAAGGGTCATTGGTTGCTGGAAGAGATCTACTGTTGATGGAATGGTCTGTTCTTGGCTCACTGCCGAAGGGTGTATTGATGCTGGCTGCCGGGAGGTCTGTTGCACTGAATGCATGTAATGATAAGGGGTGGTGGGGGTTGTGCTGGAAGGTCAATTGTTGCTGGCTGCTGGGGGGATCTATTGTTGTGGGGGGTCTATTGTTGCTGGGGAGGTCTGTTGTTGCCGGTGGGAGGGGGGGGGCTGTTGTTGCTGGGGGAGTCTTATATTGCTGGGAGGGGGTCACTGGTTGCTGGAAGGGATCTACTGTTGAAGGAAGGGTCTGTTGTTGGCTCACGGCCGGACGGTGGCAGTGCAGGGTTGGGTGGACGTTTATAAACGACCTCCCCGCACCCTGCTTGTGCGCGCTCCCAGGGAGCGCACAGCACCGCGATCCGGTGCCCGCTGTGTCCTCCGTACACAATGAAACACCGATCGTCGGACGGGACCTCTGTAGGAGGTCCCGATCATGTGATTACTGATTGGCCAATCAGTGGTCACATTCAAGGTAGTAAGCAAGATGTCACTTGTGACATCATTGCTTACTACGTGTGAAATCTGTGAATGATCACAGAGATCACATGGTACAGGGCTATTCACAACAGCCTTGTACCATGTGACAAGCTGTGACCAATCACAGCTCACACAGTATTTCTCAATAGCTGCAAGAATGCAGCCAGAGGGAAAGAGAAATGATTGCTTTTACATCCTATATGGGTGTAAAAGCAATCAGTGTAAAAAAATTTAAAAAATCTTCATCACCCCCCACAAGTAGTACAGTGTCACCATGGTGACCCTGTACTGCTAGGGTGACAGTATGTACAAAAAAAAAAACATAAATAATAATATAAAAAATAAAATAAAAATGTAAATTAAATGTTTAAAAATTATAATTTTTGGTTATAAACTAATTTGGCTTATTTTTTTTTACTAAAAAGATAACGAAATAAATTTTGATCAAGATTTTGGATGAAAAGAATTATTTATTTGCAAAATTTTATAAGAAAAACACTTTTTTTCAACATTTTGGGACTTTTCATTTACATAGCAAAAAAAATAAAAACCCCAGCGGTGAATAAATACCACCAAAATAAAGCTTTATCTGTCTCAAAAAAATGGTAAAAAAGTCATATGGTTACAGTGTTGCATGACCGCGCAATTGTCATTCAAAGTGTGATAGCGCTGAAAGCTGAACATTGGCCTGGACAGGAAGGGGGGGAAAGTGTCCGGACTGGAAAGGGGGGAAAGCTTCCGGACTGGAAGGGGGGGAAAGTGTCCGGACTGGAAGGGGGTGAAAGCGTCCGGACTGGAAGGGGGGGAAAGCATCCGGACTGGAAGGGGGGGGGAAACCGTCCGGACTGGAAGGGGGTGAAAGCGTCCGGACTGGAAGGGGGGGAAAGCGTCCGGACTGGAAGGGGGGGAAAGCGTCCGGACTGGAAGGGGGGGAAAGCGTCCGGACTGGAAGGGGGGGGAAACCGTCCGGACTGGAAGGGGGTGAAAGCGTCCGGACTGGAAGGGGGGGAAAGCGTCCGGACTGGAAGGGGGGGAAGCGTCCGGACTGGAAGGGGGGGAAAGCGTCCGGACTGGAAGGGGGGAAAGCGTCCGGACAGGAAGGGGGGGAAAGCGTCCGGACTGGAAGGGGGGGGAAAGCGTCCGGACTGGAAGGGGGGGGGGAAAGCGTCCGGACTGGAAGGGGGGGGGGGGGGAAAGCGTCCGGACTGGAAGGGGGGGAAAGCGTCCGGACTGGAAGGGGGGAAAGCGTCTGGACTGGAAGGGGGGGAAAGCGTCCGGACTGGAAGGGGGGGGGGAAAGCGTCCGGACTGGAAGGGGGGGAAAGCGTCTGGACTGGAAGGGGGGGAAAGCGTCCGGACTGGAAGGGGGGGAAAGCGTCCGGACTGGAAGGGGGGGAAAGCGTCCGGACAGGAAGGGGGTGAAAGCGTCCGGACTGGAAGGGGGTGAAAGCGTCCGGACTGGAAGGGGGGGAAAGCGTCCGGACTGGAAGGGGGGGAAAGCGTCCGGACTGGAAGGGGGGGAGAAAGCGTCCGGACTGGAAGGGGGGGGAAAGTGTCCGGACTGGAAGGGGGGGGAAAGTGTCCGGACTGGAAGGGGGGGAAAGTGTCCGGACAGGAAGGGGGGGAAAGTGTCCGGACTGGAAGGGGGGAAAGTGTCCGGACTGGAAGGGGGGGAAAGTGTCCGGACTGGAAGGGGGGGAAAGTGTCCGGACTGGAAGGGGGGGGGGGGGAAAGTGTCCGGACTGGAAGGGGGGGAAAGTGTCCGGACTGGAAGGGGGGGAAAGCGTCCGGAAAGCGTCCGGACTGGAAGGGGGGGGGGGAAAGCGTCCGGACCGGAAGGGAGGGAAAGCGTCCGTCCGGACCGGAAGGGAGGGAAAGTGTCCGGACCGGAAGGGGGGGAAAGTGTCCGGACTGGAAGGGGGGGGAAAGTGTCCGGACTGGAAGGGGGGAAAGTGTCCGGACAGGAAGGGGGGGAAAGTGTCCGGACTGGAAGGGGGGAAAGTGTCCGGACTGGAAGGGGGGGAAAGCGTCTGGACTGGAAGGGGGGGAAAGCGTCCGGACTGGAAGGGGGGGAAAGCGTCCGGACCGGAAGGGAGGGAAAGCGTCCGGACTGGAAGGGGGGGAAAGTGTCCGGACTGGAAGGGGGGGAAAGCGTCCGGACTGGAAGGGGGTGAAAGCGTCCGGACTGGAAGGGGGTGAAAGCATCCGGACTGGAAGGGGGGGAAAGCGTCCGGACCGGAAGTGGTTAAAAACCTTATGAAGTATTTCACCAACACATAAAGAGTTACTAAACCCCCAGCAGTACAATAGTCTGTAGATGCAGTAAAGCATGCTTGTTATACTCACTGTGGAACCTAAGGGGTTAATCCTCCGCATTGTGTAGAAAGGCTTTTTGATCCTGTCTTCTCTGATCCTCCCCTTCTTCCAGTGTCCCCCTCTTATCTCCTGATAAGACATATTGTGTGGAGTCACTCTGCACGTGCTCAGTTTGGTGTGTATTTGTTTTTTCCTTGGGAGAGTGCATGTGTCAATCAGCACTGTCCAGACAACATAAAGAGAGGCAGTACAGCCACAATACAAGGCAAGAGGGTTAGGCCGCAGAGCTTACAATCTAAAAACATAAATATAGTTCAGGATCTCCCCGCCTTACAGGGTCAGATTAGCCAAGACAGAGGCGTTCAGGTTTAAGTACACAGACTGAGCGCAGTTATTACTGTCCTGTTGGCGGAGGTGAAAGGTCAGAGGTCGTGTTGTGACAGCGGTGACCCCAGTAATAAGCTGGGCTCTGTTAGCAGAAGAATAGAAGTCTGCAGTTGATTAGCCGCTGATCCCAGCATGTGAGGGGGGGGGGGGGGGAATGGGGAGAGGAGCGGAGGGGAGGCGACTCTCATTCACGGCAAAGTTTCCATACACTGAGCCCAGCCGTCCGCATGCAACTGGTTTGTCATTGTTGGACCCCATCCATTACCCCCCCCCCCCCCCCCCCCCCCCGCAGTCCCTACAAACATGTGATCCGTCAGTACTGCATTGTATTGTCATCTGATCCTCTGTGTCACCTGATGGTGCGGTTGTCACGCTCAGCTGCAAGACATCTGTCTGTACGGCCAAACATTGGTTTAATAATGAGGAATTAAAGGGATTTTCTTCCTTCAGAGAGCAACAGCCTAATTAAAGGGCAATTTCTGCTAGTCAGTCAAATACAAAACAATGGTGGGAACTGCTTGAGTTGCCAAATGATTTGTAGAGCATTTTAAACAGTCTTGTGCCCTCCCCACTTCAGGGTGACAACACTTATTGGAATTAGTGGTTCTTCTGAGTCTGTGTCACTGCCCCGCCTACTTTCTGCTCTTTGGACCTTACTGTCAGCACCCACCCAGCTCTTTCCCTCATACTGTATGTCACTGCCCCGCCTCCTGTCTGCTCTTTGGACCACCCAATCTTTTCCCTTATATGTTATTGTCCCGCCTCCTGTCTGCTCTTTGGATCCCATTGGTGGCACCCACCGAGTTCTTTCCTTTATATGTCACTGCCCCGCCTCCTGTCTGTTCTTTGGACCACCCAATCTTTTCCCTTATATGTTATTGTCCCGCCTCCTGTCTGCTCTTTGGATCCTATTGGTGGAACCCACAAAGTTCTTTCTCTTATATGTCACTGCCCCGCCTCCTGTCTGTTCTTTGGATCCCATTGGTGATGCCTGCCGAGTTCTTTCCTTTATATGTCACTGCCCTGCCTCCTCTCTGCTCTTTGGACCACCCAGCCCCTTCCCTCATATGTCACTGGCCCGCCCCATCTGCTCTTTGGACCACCCAGCCCCTTCCCTCATATGTCACTGCCCTGCCTCCTGTCTGCTCTTTGGACCACCCAGCCCCTTCCCTTATATGTCATTGCCCCGCCCCATCTGCTCTTTGGACCACCCAGCCCCTTCCCTTATATGTCCCTGCCCCGCCCCGTCTGCTCTTTGGACCACCCAGCCCCTTCCCTTATATGTCCCTGCCCCGCCCCGTCTGCTCTTTGGACCACCCAGCCCCTTCCCTTATATGTCATTGCCCCGCCCCATCTGCTCTTTGGACCACCCAGCCCCTTCCCTTATATGTCACTGCCCCGCCCCATCTGCTCTTTGGACCACCCAGCCCCTTCCCTTATATGTCACTGCCCCGCCCCATCTGCTCTTTGGACCACCCAGCCCCTTCCCTTATATGTCACTGCCCCGCCTCCTGTCTGCTCTTTGGACCACGCAGCCCCTTCCCTTATATGTCACTGCCCCGCCCCGTCTGCTCTTTGGACCACCCAGCCCCTTCCCTTATATGTCACTGCCCCGCCCCGTCTGCTCTTTGGACCACCCAGCCCCTTCCCTTATATGTCACTGCCCCGCCCCGTCTGCTCTTTGGACCACACTGGTGACACCCACCCTATTCTTTCCCTCTACAAATAGAATTCAATATGCAGCGTTCACAGTCTGATGTACAGTATATATTATATACAGGTTTCCAGGACTTGGTTTATGAGCAAACATTGATTTCCATATATTTCCTATAAATCTCCCTCTAAGCATATTTAACTTGTTTCCTTGCTCACTAATAGTTTGTGAAGATAGCCACACCCACTCATGTATACGAACCTCATGGATCTCTTCATGCGTCTAACCAACATTTTTGTTAACAGGAAACAGTGGGAGAGCCGTTCTTCTTGCTGCTGTGCGCCATTAAACAACAAATCAACAAAGGCTCCATCGATGCCATCACTGGGAAGGCGCGGTACACCCTGAACGAGGAGTGGCTGCTGAGAGAGAACATTGAAGCCAAGCCTATGGTAAGCAGCATCACCTGCAGGACTTCAATGTTCAGCCAATGTCTCAAAGTCCGAAATTGCAAACAGTCATTTTGTTGTAGCTAGTAGTAGTTAGTCAGATTACATCTGGCCTTGTTCTGTGATGGTGAAGATGTTTTGTCACTTCTCAGTGCCACTTCTTTGTAGCTTCTTTCATGGTTTCTCCAAGTCATTTGTTCATAGTTTCCTTCGTAGCATTTCTAAGCTACTTTTTCCAAGCTTCTCCAAGCCATTTTGTAGTTTCCTTAATAGCTTCTCCATGCCACTTTTTCATAGTTTCTTTAGTAGCTTCCTCAAACCACCTCTTTGCAGCTTCCTTCGTAGAGTCTCCAAGCCACTTTTTCATAGCTTCTCCAAGCCACTTCTTCATAGCTTCTTCTGCAGCTTCTCCAAGGCACTTCTTCATTGCTTCTTCCATAGCTTCTCAAAGCCACTTCTTCATAGCTTCTTCCACAGCTTCTCCAAGGCACTTCTTCATTGCTTCTTCCATAGCTTCTCAAAGCCACTTCTTCATAGCTTCTTCCGAAGCTCCTCCAAGGCACTTCTTCATAGCTTCTTTAATAGCATCTTCAAGCCACTTGTTTATAGATTTTCTGTGTAGTTTCTTTTATATATTCTCCAAGCTACTTCTTTGGAGCTTTTGTCATAAGTTTTCCAAGCCACGTCTCCCTAGCTTCTTTCACAGCTTCTTCACACCACCTATTTGCAGCTTCTTTCATAGCTTCTCCGAGCCACTTCTTTGCAGCTTCCTTCATAGCTTCTCCAAGCCACTTCTTTGCAGCTTCTTTCATAGCTTCTCCGAGCCACTTCTTTGCAGCTTCCTTCATAGCTTCTCCGAGCCACTTCTTTGCAGCTTCCGTCATAGCTTCTCCAAGTCACTTCTTTGGAGCTTCCTTCATAGCGTCTCCAAGCCACTTCTTTGCAGCTTCCTTCATAGCTTCTCCGAGTCACTTCTTTGCAGCTTCCTTCATAGTTTGTCCAAGCCACTTCTTTGCAGCTTCCTTCATAGCTTCTCCGAGTCACTTCTTCATGGCTTCCTTCATAGTTTGTCCAAGCCACTTCTTTGCAGCTTCCTTCATAGCTTCTCCGAGTCACTTCTTCATGGCTTCCTTCATAGTTTGTCCAAGCCACTTCTTTGCAGCTTCCTTCATAGCTTCTCCGAGTCACTTCTTCATGGCTTCCTTCATAGTTTGTCCAAGACACTTCTTCGTAGCTTCTTAATTACCTTCTCCAAGCCCTTTCTTAGCTTCTCCAGTCCACTTCTTCGTAGTTTTTTTAATAGCTTCCTCAAGCCACCTCTTTGCAGCTTCCTTCATAGTGTCTCCAAGCCACTTTTTCATAGCTTCTCCAAGCCACTTCTTCATAGCTTCTTTTGTAGCTTCTCCTAGCTACTTCTGCATATTTTTTTTTCATATATTCTCCAAGCCACTTCTTCATAGCTTCTTTCATAGCTTCATCAAACCACTTCTTTGCAGCTTCCTTCATAGCTTCATCAAACCACTTCTTTGCAGCTTCCTTCATAGCTTCTTCAAGCTATTTCTTTGCAGCTTCTCTCATGGCTTTTCCAAGCCACTTCTTCAGTGCTTCCTTCATAGCTTCTCCAAGTCATTTCTTTGCAGCTTCTCTCATGGCTTCTCCAAAGCACTTCTTCAGTGCTTCCTTCATAGCGTCTCCAAGCCACTTCTTTGCAGCTTCCTTCATAGCTTCTCCGAGTCACTTCTTTGCAGCTTCCTTCATAGTTTGTCCAAGCCACTTCTTTGCAGCTTCCTTCATAGCTTCTCCGAGTCACTTCTTCATGGCTTCCTTCATAGTTTGTCCAAGCCACTTCTTTGCAGCTTCCTTCATAGCTTCTCCGAGTCACTTCTTCATGGCTTCCTTCATAGTTTGTCCAAGCCACTTCTTTGCAGCTTCCTTCATAGCTTCTCCGAGTCACTTCTTCATGGCTTCCTTCATAGTTTGTCCAAGACACTTCTTCGTAGCTTCTTAATTACCTTCTCCAAGCCCTTTCTTAGCTTCTCCAGTCCACTTCTTCGTAGTTTTTTTAATAGCTTCCTCAAGCCACCTCTTTGCAGCTTCCTTCATAGTGTCTCCAAGCCACTTTTTCATAGCTTCTCCAAGCCACTTCTTCATAGCTTCTTTTGTAGCTTCTCCTAGCTACTTCTGCATATTTTTTTTTTCATATATTCTCCAAGCCACTTCTTCATAGCTTCTTTCATAGCTTCATCAAACCACTTCTTTGCAGCTTCCTTCATAGCTTCATCAAACCACTTCTTTGCAGCTTCCTTCATAGCTTCTTCAAGCTATTTCTTTGCAGCTTCTCTCATGGCTTTTCCAAGCCACTTCTTCAGTGCTTCCTTCATAGCTTCTCCAAGTCATTTCTTTGCAGCTTCTCTCATGGCTTCTCCAAAGCACTTCTTCAGTGCTTCCTTCATAGCTTCTCCAAGTCATTTCTTTGCAGCTTCTCTCATGGCTTCTCCAAAGCACTTCTTCAGAGCTTTCTTCATAGCTTCTCCAAGCCACCTCTTCATAACGTCTTTAATAGCTTCTCCAAGCCCTTTTACAGCTTCTCTAGGCCACTTCTTCGTAACTTTCTTTGTAGCCTTTCCAAGCTCTTCCGTAGCTTCTCCAAGCCACTTCTTTGCTTCCCTTGGCTTGGAGAAGCCACAAATTGCAGACCGTGTTCAGTTGAATATGATTAACAGCTACTAGCTATAATGAGAACCTTCACAGTCATTTTGCTGTGTTGGGCCTTTCAAATTTTTTTTTTCAGTTTTTGAGGCCACCTGGACAAAGCCAAACGGGCAACCATGGTCAATTAAGTGACATCAAACTAACAGTTTGAACTTGTTGAAAGTAATAGGTGATAAATAGAACACATTTGAATGTTAATAATATATAATAATAGATTGTATGTAATATAATTCTGAATAATAATGAAAAAACTATTAGGACACTACTGTACCTTGTGCGCTGTCAGCACCTTCCTTCCACCACTACACTAATACATGGCAGGTTTTTGTGCTGAGAGCACAGTGATGGAGTCTTCTTCAATGGCTTCCAGGGTGACCGTTTCCCATCACAGTGATCACATGATGTGAAGCCCGCCACCTGCTCCTGGAGGCAACATCCCCTTAAAGGGCCGGCAGCAAGGGTTAAAGAAAATACACCTTAGGGGTAATAGAGGAACTCCAAACAAGACATCAGAAGCTGCAGCAAATCAGAGCCTGCCTTTAATTAATCACTGTTTATTGTCCAGCATCCTCTAGCCCACAGGGGTCAAACACAAGGCCCGCGGGCCAAATCTGGCCCTCCAGGCCATATCATGTGGCCCTTTCACCTCTCCTGCAGGTACCCCCTTGTCTCCGCCCCCACCTTGTCTCAGCAGTCAGCAGCAGAGAGGAGAATAGGACTCCTCTGCCAAATTCTGCATATCTCAGTGCAGCTGCAGCACTCCCTCATCTCTGCCTCCCCTGGTCTCAGCATTCAGGAGACTCTGGTAACTGACTCCACTCCTCCTCTGGTCCTCCTCCAGACCCTGCACTTTCTGCATTCCAGCTCTGCCCCCAAACGGGGTGCACGGTGATTTTAGGGAGGGTGTGGGATTCATGACATCTGATGTAATGGGGGCTGGAGTGCTCTGGACATCTAGTCTTACAGATACAACCGGCCCTTTGAGGGCAACCATAATGCTGATACGGCCCGCGATGAAATGGAGCTTGACACCCCTGCTCTAGCCCTTGCCTCCTACCTGACTGTCCTGGGCCTGCCCCTATCATTCATTGGATATCCGTTCTATCAATAACAGAAAATCAGCTTTACATGTGGGTGTTACCAGGGGCGGACTGACAACTCATGGGGCCCCCAGGCAATAGGGGATCATGGGGCCCCTGTGTCCTTGCCCAAACTCAAAAAAGCCTATGAAAAAGGTACCAGGGGCATCTCATGGGGCCCCCTACTGACCCCGGGCCCTCGGGCTGTGCCCGAGTTTCCAAATGGTCAGTCTGCCCCTGGGTGTTACCTAGGGTGGTCTGCATGGAAATGTAATCTGCACTTCTGTAGACTGATACCCACCCATAAAGACATTTTGATATTTGCATAATTCCTCCCAAGTGCAAGTAAACTGCTTAAGAGGAGTACAGAGCTGAGATGTTTTCAGGAAGCTATGTACAGCACCCTGCCAGCCCCTCCCACCAGCCACAGTCTACATGCATTGCCTAGAGAAGCAAAGAGACCCAGTGTTGGGTCTAAAATAGTAAATGAAATGAAAACAGAAGGTTTTTATTTTTAAAATGTAAATATGTGAGGGAGGAAAGGCATCATATAAGCAGCATCAACTTCAGTTTTAACATATGGACTAGAAAAACAAAACAAAACCAAGAAATGCAGAAGACTTTAATAAAAAAAAAAGAAAAAAAGAAAATGCTTCAAAAAGGCTTAAAACTAACAATGCCTTTTAAAGACATTTTCCTGGACTTTATGGACAGAAGTAAGACTTTCTTACAGACTGATTGCGCGATTCCTGGGCGGTTTGGCAACCTTGGCCCGTCCAGGCTGACAGGCAGGTAAAATGAGCCTCGTTGTCCGAAGCTTGCAGGAAAAGAAAACACTGAAGGAGCCGCAGTGATTTATGAGTGAAGTAATACATTGTTTTCTCCATTGAAATATCCCAGATGGGGGGGGGCATATTTAACCCAGCAGCCCCCGGGCTCTCTCTGGGGGGAGCTCATAAAAGTGCCTGTCCCTGGGAGCCCTTTGATTAATGGCTGTGGACTCCCTGGGAGTAAGGGGGGGGGGGGGGGTACCGATGGCTGGAGGGAGGGGGGAATATTAATTTCCTATGTAGACATTACCGCAGAGGAGCAGAAGAATCCGTCACCGCCGGTAGGACATACACAAACTTTACAGAAAGCAAAGCGGGATGTCTCATTTCCTGAAAACCAATCATCCCGCATAGATCACAGCTGGTCCTGAATTCCTCCCTC